ACATAATATAAAATATAACATGTCTAATGGAATGAAAAAATGTTGATGAATAATATTATACCATTAGAGTATTAAAATATAATATAATTGTTACAAAATTAAAAACAATAATAACTCAGACAAACGTAAAGAATTCGATTAGATCATGATTTCATTCGAACTAATTCTGATGAATGGGTGTCAGACTGGCGTGTAATAATAGGTGCTTATTATTACTTATAAGTTATAAGTTATAAACAATAGACATGAACCAAAAACAGATTTTTATTTCATATCAACTGCATTGACTATCGTGTTTACATGAATAATGCTTTGCATAGTACCAGCTAAAATTCTATATAACAGTAAACAACTATTATTTTGAATAGGTACATAGTTTAAACATTGTCTTCTTAGTTCTTAGGATGTCATCATACTAATTATTTTCTCTCTTTGATCAATGTGAAACATAAACAATTAAATTTGATTCTGCTGAATTATGTTGTTAGTTTTATAACGAATAGATCTGTTATCAAATTTAAAGTTAAGAACATTATCTATTTTTTTGTGTTTGTAAATTGGATTTTTACAATATATAAATTGTATACAAGTAATGAGTATATAAAATACTATAATTTAAAAATGCTCATATTTTGATTTTAAATTGAAATATTGCAAAAAAGGCCAAAGTACATGCACAGATAATATTTTCTAACTTCAAGATAGATAATAGGTTCACTAAAATATTAAATATAATAAAACAAAGTTAGTCCCGCTGAATGAAAATTCAAAGTATTATGCGTGAGTTAAAGAGAGAAAACAAATAATGCACTGACATCATGCTAATTACTTTTCCCTTATAGAATATTTATGCAATAAAAATTGATATCAAACATATTTCAACAGACAGAGGATAATACTATTGGATAGTGAGTAAAATAAAATTACGTATTGCTAAGCATTCGTATAGAAAAACGAAATTTATATAAATATTTCGCCTAAAGATACATGAATATTGTATTTAAAACATAATAATAACAAGTGGAATAGAGAATTAACTTCACATTATTACGTTACGAGTATTTTATAGGTTTATTTTTACAGTGGAATCGTAGTTTAATAATGAGTCAGCTTTTTATGTTTTCATTAATCGTGCGAATTTCTAGTTTTTTTTTTATATAGAAAAAAATTATACATTTATAAATTTAATCTATATAAAGAATCTTTTATATTATTATATCATGTATATTAAATATTAATGCTATATTATACCTAATTACTACTACTTAATGTACGAGTATTTTGTCAAAAATACTTCCTCTAATAATACGAGTATTAGCTATCATAACAGGTAATTTATCTGTTTTTGATTGTGATGGTACCAAATAATTTTCATTTTGAAAGAATTATCAAAATTATTATCTTTAAACCATGAAAAGTGAGTATGTGTCGTGCTTACATATTTTTCAAGTACAAACAAAATTATTATCTATAAAACAGTTTTATATTATGGCGTTTATAATGAAGGAAGTTGTTGGAAATTGTTTTGTTTATGCGACTTGAGCAATTAAGTATTTATTTTAATTGCCAAGCTTAGAATTTTTGTGATTCTTTTTTACACTATTATGCTAACGTTTTTAATCATGATAATATTTTTATAAATCGTTAGTTTTGATTTTTAACTTTTTAAGATCACATGTGGCTTTTAATAATTTTTCGTGAATAATATTAGTTAATATAAATTATAAATACATTTTATGGTTGATAATAACACATCGAAAGATCATCTGGTATTCAGCGTGTTACTCGTGGTCATTAATTAATTTTTTATTAGTTATTTAATATGTATTTTTTTTTTATTCCTATTTACTAGTCACTAGTAACTAGTGTATTTAAGTATATTAATTAACCTAATCAAAACTAAAGTGTAGATATACCTAAACTTTAAATTATGTATGTGTTTTTTTTTTATTTATATTGTACATTTTTAAAACCTGTACTATAAAAATAATAATTTTTGGTTAAAATTATTTTAAAATGTTAAGTTTACATGATTACTGACTGTTGTGTATGATTCAAACAGAAGAGTGCAACTTGCAGATTTAAATTCAAGTTTATTGGACCATATAGGTACACATCAATACGCTTTCACAAGGATTAAATAAAATAAAAATAACATGCCAAAAGAAAAACTTGATAAAACATAATAAATCTTACAATGAAAATATACACAAGACCTTGGAAATAAATTTAATATTTGAGTACAGCCGTAAGTATAGAGGTTTAACCTATGTACCGTGAGAACTGTGAATTAATAATAAACATAATGCTTCAGGCTTCATACAAGTAGGCATGTGTTGTATTGTATGTATAGTTGTCAATTTCATAATAAAAAAAGAATAAATATACTATATTACTATATTACTTAGCATGGGTATTTTTTAAATTTCGTGATTGTTACATTGTGCTTTTTAAAAATTAGAAACTTTTATGATAAAGATTTCAAAATAAAAATTACGATCACTTGTATAATGCAATACTTTTATGTGTACATCATTAAAATATAATAATTAACAAATATTTTCCTATAATGATTTTTTTTAAGTATCTTATAAAATATTACACAACCGTGCAAAAACTCTTAAATAAATCGTTGATTAATGATAATATACGTATAAGTATATAAATAGCTTAATAACAAGAGTACAACCAGTCTTAAAAAAAGTGGGGCTTATTATCAGACTAAAGAAATGATAGCCAAAACGAGATATTTATGCTTGGGTAATTTAAATACATCTAATAAGTTTAATATCTGTAAGTTAGAGAAATAAACATCATTGAAATATAAACTAATACATATGATATAGACTAGATATTTAAATGAAATATAATATTTTTAGCTGACTAAACGCTTGTATAAATATTGTTTGTTAGGCATTTGGGCATTTGTGATCGGATACAAAAAATAGAAAAAAAAATATTAGTATTAGTCTAGTACTCTAGTGTGTCTGTACAATTATACTGTATGCAGTATTTAAAAAAAAAAAAAACTACACTCTTAGCTGAAATACAGTAGTTAGTGAATAATTGAAGTGATGAACTAATATTTAGAGTTTAAAATATACATTAAGTACGTAGTTGTTGATTTTTTTGTGTCAATAATATTATTATAGGCATATTTAATGTTATAGGTACCTATTCATAAATTGTATGTAAAATATAACTAAAATATATAATAATGTTTTTTGAAATATCAAATAAAATTTAAATAATTTAATTATTTATAAAATGAGGAATAATATTATAATAATAACTGTTTTTAAATGTTTGTAAAAATAAACTGTTAATCTAATAATTTATCATTTACAAACATCTATTTTTGTGTATGATTTTTTTTTTTTTTTCAATATCATGTCATTTAGTTATGATATGTATATGTGTTACATTTTTTTGCGTGGCACATGTGACTCATACAAAAATATCGTCTAGAAAGCTATATAGCACGTGAGAAAAATATTAAGCTATCATTAAATATCCTCTACAAGTAACTGAATGGGGCTTTACAAATATGTAAAACCTTAAATTGCGAATGTTTAATTTTTTCCCACAATTATTTTATGTAGGTATACTTGCAAACGTCAAGAAGAACGTTTTAAACGATAATTTGACAATATCGGTTTAAACGTTTGCAATGACGTCATTACATATTTGACTAACTGTTGTTTGATAAAAATAATAATAATAAAAAAATAAGTTCAACGTTTGAACATTTTCCGTGCATAATTTAAAATAAATAATTTTATGCAATACCCATAATAATGTACAAATAATACCAATAAATATGCATATGAATCGTTTTAGTTTACGATTACAAATTATTGAAATATACATATTTATTTGTAGGCATTTATTGTGATTGTACGATACACCAATATTTGGCTGCTACAAATTTTTATAATATGTATTTGTCTATGGTCTATTATGATTCATGAGTCATGAAAACACTTAAAATACGATTGATGTTGGGGAAATCTAAGATAGTTACTATCTTTTTTTTAACAAACGTTACGGTATCATATATTATTTGTTTTAGATGCACACAAACATACACATTAATTCGATTTCTATAAGAAGTAAATCATTACGATAATTTAACTTGACCGTTTTTTAGGTCCGAGACACTATAGTATATATTATATAGTACGTATATACCTATTATGTTATTATACAACTCTAAAGAAATATTACTCAAATGTACATGGCATATTATTTTGACGATATAGGTAATGATACAAAATTTTTTCTCGTTTTGCAATAAAAAAAAAAATAAATATCTATTCAAATCATCATAACCAATACTTATTGTCAACATCCGATTTACAAGCGCTATTAGTGGTCAACATAACTGCAAAATATTTTATCTAAAATAACTTATTCGTCGCAATATAAGTATCTCATAATATTTTATAGAAGGTATTTGTATTCTACAATTTTGTTATTAATACGATTATGAACGTGTGACTACAATTTTACACCAACAAATAAACTAACATTTCTATCTTAGACATTCCGGCCCTAATGAATAATACATATGCGAATCACTTTTCATTATCATTTTATTTTTTTTGTTAAATACGTTTGTCTCCTTTCTCCGTGTGCTTACACTACATCTGATGCAACAAAAATAATATTTTAGCGCATACGTTTAAATGACACATAAGAATTTCATATAGTTATTATGAAGTAATTAAGGAGCGTGCAGAAATGTTATCCTCCGTTGAATCTTATGTTTATTCTTTTGCTTAAGTTCTCGTTTCATGTGATTTCATCACAGTTTTGAGAATGTCTTATTAGGGACTTTATTATTATATTACTACTTTATATTGTTTGTTTTTGAATAATAGATCAATGAATGGAAATAATAAAATACTGATTTGAAAATAATTTTCTTAGCATACTAAACTGTAGTGTAGGTACCTATCTATGAATAATATTTGATTTTTTATTTTTTGTTTGAATAGATTGGAATATATTTTATTATCACAATATACATTTTGTTCGAGACGTGGACAGCTGCTATTGACATTCCGTATGAAGATCTTAACAATCCATATAAGTAAGAAACTATTTTTGCATGGATAGTGAATTTAAATAGTATTTAACAAGTAGTTTAGATATGAACAGTAATATTAATTAATTAATTTGTTTTAACTATAATTTACCGTGTTGAGTTTTCAATTTCAGAAAATATTAATATTATCGTCGTCTTGTCAGAAACTCTGAACTTTAGAACAAATTAGTATGTGTGTTCCGATAAAAATATTTCATTTATAATTGCAACTAATCTTAAATAAATCCGTTAGTTTATTTATATCTATTAAAAAAATAAAAAAAATAAAAAAAAATAAAGAAATAAGTAGACATCATAAAGACAAATGTTATTTACGTAATAAAATTAGTATGATAATATTAGTTTTGTTTTTGAAAATAGAGTAATAGCAATAAATTTATTATTACGCAAAATGTAATTTACCTATTGTTAATTCGCATAAAAAATAATAATATCATTATTACTAAATTAATGTAATAAGATACATAAATCTTAAAAATATATTTTATTGTTACTTAATTTTTAATGTAATATTATATAATTTAATCCCTAATTGAATAATGGTTAATAGTTAATTCTAAATATTTATAAGTGTTATATGGAAGGTTCTACTAGAACGTAATACCTTATTCATTATAGTATAGATACCTCACTAACCTACCTTTGGGAAGCTTATAATTTTATTACGTTCTGAATGTTTTAGTTATTATTATTAATCCGTCCAAGCAAAATAACTGTGATAATCTATGAAGTTATAACTTATACATTATTATTTTTTTTATGTCACATAAGAAAAAAAAGATTAAACGGTGTATTTTATTTATTTACGTTTAATAATAACAATGTGAATGACTTATAAGTTATAACTTAATATGTTTGTAAAAACTATTACCTTAATTCCATTATTAATTATATTTCATTAATAAGTTTTCGTTTGTTAAATCTTTAATTTTAATTATAATTTAAGTATAAAATGTACCTAATATATTTTAAAATGTTATTTACAGTAGTCGCCGTTTATTGGATTCGCGGTTAATGTATATTTAGTACTTACGCTTAGAACAAATTTGGCTATTACATTTACTAAACTGGTTAATTAGTTAATAGGGGTATACTTGTACAATTTTTAGTCCGTTTTCCTGATTTTATAGCATATATTTCAACGATTTATTTAATTTATTTTCTTGTCATTTTATTAAAAAATATTAATTTTTTTATTCACGAAACAACATTAGTGGAAATAAAACATTTTATAGTTAAATCGTATTAAATTTCCATGTTTTTTCTTTGCGTATTACAACATTTATTTTAAATACATAATACTGAATATTTTTGGTGTACCTATAGATAAATTAAATTTATTAGTTACAATGCATACGTATAATATATATTTATCCTTGGACTTATCGCTTTATTGACTTAATATTTTTTAATAACATCAATTCAAATTTTATAATAATTGTACATTAATTACGTCTCAACTGTTAAATACTAAGTGTGATTAAAACAAGTTTAAGAAAGTTTCAATTATACAGCCCACATAGTTCAAAAGACCCTTGCAATTTTAATTTATAGTATCTATTGCAGCTCACATAAATATGATAATATATACATTGAAAGTGCATTACATTCATATTTGATGTTGTGCGTAGGTTTTCACACATTTCAGTAGGTACAAAAATAATCGTTGTATTACGCATCGGTTTTTTATTATAATAACACGTTTACATAATAAAATTATGATAAGATAATCGATTAAATATCGGATTCAAATCTTGAGTAGACGAAACACAGCAGAGATCTATTGTTTTCTCTACCAATTGTTATCCCACGTGCAAGTCATCATGTCTAAGAAACCACGTTTTGTGTTTCAAAAACTGCGAGGTCAACATTTGGTAGACAACCTATTACAGAGTTTAAGTGTGTAGGTACCTGCCTTTATTTATTATTGTTTTTAGCGTATTGTTTAACTGTGTACACACTACACCGTGTACTGTAGATGCTGTCCGTACAGCCGTCCGTAATAGTTAATTGTACGCGGATCGCGTGCTTACTCGTCGTATCTGCGTGTGTTTTGAAAGTTACTGATTCGTGTGGCGTGAAAAAACCATCTCATTTGTACGTTCGATACCAACGTTATTGTTACTTCAAAGTCCACATATTAATACTGTACCTATAATCCGCTCATAACAGACGTCAACACACACACACACACACACATTAATAAGTCGCAGTGAAACTTGTCTCCGATATTGACTTCGAAACGTTCTCATATGTACGTATTTTTCGTGTACGAACGCAGTCATATTGATTTTTGCGATCTCAAAACTGATTGTTCACTTATCGAAATGTGAAATTCGGTCGGAACCGTACAACCGAAATCCGGCTCGTCCAACACGCCGTTGACATTAAAAAAAAAAAAAAAAAAAATCAATAACTTTCTCGACGAATCGATTTTCATTTATTTATTTATGTTTTATTATTTTTTTTATTCTATTTATTATGTTATACAGTCTTGCGACCGGCGAACTCCGATCTCGGGGGGGTCGATCGGTGATCAAAATTCAATAATTGCGTCACGTTGGTATTGTTTTCAGGTTATGTCTACCGCAGTCCAGTTGCGCGGGAGTAGACCAGAAAGTGGCCGCGTCCGAGGCGGAGAACGGCAGCGACGGCCTAGGCGGACTGCGGCGAAACTGCCTGTGCGACGACCAATGCGGCGAGTACGGCGACTGTTGTACCGACTCGGCGCACTTCGACCCGGTGGAACAGCAGAGCGCCGCCGCCCGGTACAGTTGCTTGCTCACCGACGTGTTGAGCGGCGCGTACGTGGTGGACAGGTGTCCGGTCGCGTGGACGAACGCGCGGGTGCGGGACGCGTGCCAGGCGCCCGACACGGATCGGGACGGCATGCTCGGCAATCCGGTGACCAGCCGGACGACGGGACGCGCGTACCGTAATCGGTTTTGCGCGGCGTGCAACAATGACGCGGCCGACCCGATGCTCTGGGACACGCGCATCGTTTGTGACGCGCTCGTCGGCGTGGCCGCGGGCGCCGAACAAACGGTGCTCGACACGCTCGAGTACAACGCGACCGACGGCCGGTGGGTGGTCAAGTACGACGGAAACGCGTACGGATGCAACCTGATAGTAGTGCCGCCGGCCCGGACCCGCACCCGTCCGTGTCTACCGAACGCCGTGGTCACGTGTCACCCACGGTGGCCGAACGACGAGATCCGGTCCAACTGCGAGGCGTACACCACGGTGGTGTACAACGGCGAACAGCCGTACAAGAACATACACTGCGCCATATGCAACCACGTGCTGGTCCAGAACGTTTCGTGTCAGGTGTCCGACGTTCACCTGAGGTTTCCCGACCAGTTCGCCGTGCGCAGTTTCACCGCGCTGTTCGTCGCGCAACCCGGCCACCGCGAGTGCCGCGGTCCCGACAAGTTCTACGACCCGTTCGGCAAGACGTGCCGGTCGCTCCGGACGTCGGTGGCCGACGGCGGCGACGGCGTGCCGCTCAACTGTTCCGTGGTGGCCATGTACCCGGCGCCGCCCCCGGACTGGCGACCGGCCGACGCCAACGTCGAGTACGTGACGCTGGACAACGGCACGATGGCCGTGTGCATGGACGCCTCCACCGCCGAACGGACCGCCGGCGGCGTGACGCTCAAGTACGTGGTGCTCACTTACGTGGGCCTCGGCGTGTCCGCGGTCCTGCTGATCGTGCACCTGGCCGTGTTCGCCGTCTTGCCCGAGATGAAGAACCTGTCCGGCAAGAACCTCGCGTCCTTTTGCGTGTCGCTCGTGTGCTCGTACGCGTCCTTCGTCGCCGGCAATTGGCTTACCGGTCCCGCGTGCTACGCCGGCGCCGCCGTCACCTATTACGCGTTCCTCACGTCGTTCGCGTGGATGTTGGTGATGAGCTTCGACTGCTGGCGCACGCTGCGCCTGGCCACCGTCGAGCTGCGCGTCACCAGCGGCCGGCAGACGAAAAAGTTCCTCGTCTACTCGGCCGTCTGCTGGCTGGTGCCGGCCATGATGACGTTCGTGGCGGTGGCCGCGGACGCCGTGCCCGCCGTGCCCGACGAGGCCCGTCCCCGGTTCGGCGCCGACCAGTGCTGGTTCGGCAGCAAGACGGCGCTGCTTATGTTCTTCGCCGGCCCGCTGACGGTCGTCATGCTCGTCAATTTCGTGCTGTTCGGCTGGACCGCGTACATGATCCACTCGAGCCGGGCCACCGTCCGGCACGTCAACACGCGGCACGTGCGCCGCGACTTCCGCATGTACTGCCGGCTGGCCGTGCTCATGGGCCTCACGTGGACCACCGGCATAGTGGCCAGCTACACGGACGCCGCGTACATGTGGATGCTGTTCGTGGCCCTCAACACGTTCCAGGGCCTGTTCGTGTTCGTCGCGTTCACGTGCCGGCGCCGCATACTGGACTCGATTGTCCGCGGCGTCGGCGCCGGCAACCTCGGTCTCGGCCAACCGGCCAATGAGAAGTCCAAGGACGGCCAAAGGAACTACCGCGGCCCGGCTCCGATGTCGTTTTCCTGGCCGTCCAGCGACAACGACGTGCCACTCAGCAGTTCGGAGAAAACGACCGACACGCTCTACTGATCCGGCATTTGTCTCGCGCGTTCGATTTTATTGCACCGGACACGAATCAAAACACAATTCGAAGACTGAACGATGATTGACCGTCGGCAGATGATGATGATGACTACAAAAATATTTCATGTTTGCACAGACACTCCGATCGCCGACGGCAGGACGCGCTAATCCTCTCGAGATCTTTATTTTTTTTTTACATTTTTTCGATTTTTGAACTTTTCCTATGTCATTTAAGTTTACCTGAGCACGTGTCTTTGACGATTCTATGTATACGACTCTACTATATTATGTATTCTTTTGTACGCGCATATTATTGTATTTATGTTCGTTTTTATATTTATAGGTTTACGAAGTAAATTACGTATAAATAATAAAAGTGCACTTCAATTTTGTATACATATTTATACTACTTAATAAAATTTAGGTATACAATATACATGTTAAATTGAAATGTTTAATTATAGACGTACGTTATGAATTATAATTAATTTCAGGTGCATGTTACGATTATAATTAAATCACGTGGTTTGTACAGTTTATTATCTATCATCATTTTGATAATTAAAATATCGTTGACGTAGAATGACTTTTATTTTATTTGTTTGGACTATTTCGAATCGTGGTTAATTGTTCTTCCATATTTTTCAAATACACGTCTACAAGAGTTTGTTAAGTATTGTATTTTTATCATTTAAACATTATAGGTTGATGGAGTACGATGTCATACCTCGACGGATTCGACGGATCGCAATGGAACAGCCAACTTGTTGTTTTCTCATTTGATCATCGTTTAATTATGTTCAAGACAGCATTCAGAGGTATTTACGTTAATATAAACGTATTAAGTATTTATTATTGAGTAACTAAAATCTGTTATTTGATTATAAAAATCTAGTAATGTTTCTTGTTATTATAGGCTGTCTAAAAAAAATAATTAGTCTATATAGGTACAAAGTATATAATATTATAATATTATAAATAATAAATTTATAAAATTATGAAAAAGCCAAACTCGTTTATAATAAATTTAATAGATTGGTTATTGTTTATCAAATCATTGGTATAAATGGTTTAACACTACATAAATAAATAACCGTAAATTATAAAATTCAAATAATGATTATAAGATCATAATTATTGAATAATGTCATAATATCGGAAGTATACCTATATAATCTATTAGTGTAATATTATTATTACAAATGTATAATATATTTTATTTTCTCATGTTTCACACCGATTTTGGTGCATGTAATAATATTTAAATGTTAGAATGTGGTACGTGTCTTATTTTTATTTTTATTTATCTAAACACAGATGAGTTGGGAGGTGAAAGTTAGTGTATATTATAGATAGGACGCGATGTACTAAAATGAATTCTTACGTAATAATAATAATAATAATAATTATGCCTACATACCAACGATGAAAACGGTGAGTGGCTTGTGTGTGTGTGTGTGTGTGTGTGTGAGTGTGTACATGCAAGGAAGCGTATCGTGGCGCCTGACGTGCAGGATTAAATTATTTTAATATTATTATATTATATTTTGGTACGTACTCATATGATTTTTTTTTTTTTAATTAACCGCGTTAAGTATGAAATCAACAGAGAAACGCATAAGACTGGATAACGTTGTGGTATATACATTATTATTATTATTAGGTCGTTTTGCATGGTGGTAAGTAGTGCAACGGAACATTCGGCAGTGGAGTGAAAACAAATATCGCACAGAATTTGCATTGTAGGTATGAAAAACGTGTAATTTTTTGTTTTCAAAAATTATTTTGTGTGAAGTTAGAACTCTATACACAGCATTTTTAAACCCAAAAATTATTAAATATTTATTTATGTCACGATGTGTACGCTAAATATAGTTGAGTTGTAAGAGTTGAATAAAAATTGCATACATAATATATTAAAGAGCATGGTATATTTTTAAATTGTACTAACAGCTTCATCAAAATTAAAAAAAAAAAATGTACCAAAAGTTTACAAGGAAATACCAATAATCAAATCAAAATTAATAGATTATAGTTTACTCACTAACCCGCTTGTTGAGTGGGCCAACTTTATGCATTTTTTAAAACCCACTTATTCTTCAACATACATATGTATATATGAATATTGAACTTATTATATGACTTCAAAATAATATGATTAAATAAAAAAAGTCAATCGGAATACTTCACTTCGATCAAACACTAATAACAAAATTTTATAATATTGCACTATAACTAAGTAAAAATATAGATTTAACTAAAAATTAATAATACATTAACTTATAGCCTATATATATGTATAGGTACCAACTTGGCCATTAACAACGATTAGAATGATTTTAGTTATAAAAAACTTAACTATATAGTATTAGCGTCGAGGTTGAAGAGATTGAATAAGGGTTGGGTGATGAGAATTTAATATAGTAGAAGGAAAAGAGCATGTGTTTATTGAAAGGTCTTACGATTTCAATTTCGACCGAAACATATAATATAAACTGCAATTAATACAGAATTTCTGTACGCAGGTATAAAAGGGAATCGATGTGCAGCAAACGTTTCCGGTTCAAAAGCAAAACATTTTCACACTGTTACAACGACTAGCACTGTAATCTGTATGGTGATTGTTGTCGGAACAGTAAGTTCTACAACAAATTCGGACGGACCGTTATTACCATTGGCAGTGCGTATAACGACCGGTATGACGGGTGTTATATGTACGGGCCACTGTGAAATCGCAAAAAAGCGCGTGCTGATGGTTGGCAAGTGTCCAATGGCACCCGCGGCGAATCTCTTAGCTGCGAAATCCGTGACAACTGCCAATGGATTGATGAAAATATGGTGTACTCGGTCTCGGTGACGTGCAGTGACTCGGGGACACGTGTACAAGTACGTCTGGCGTTAGGTTAGGTTAGGTCGTCTACTGGAAACCGCTGTTCCAGCGTTACGATTCCAATGAAATCTTGGTTGAAAGGTGACATTCACATTGAAGATGGCCAACGCCTGGTCTTACAAAAACAACCGGTGGTTCTATTTAGAATTCAATTAATGGATGTAACTCGAGTGTGACCATCCGCTCCAGTCCCCGGACAAAGAAGGAGTCGCGGCCGTCCTTATTGAAATTCGCTTCGTCTGTGGACGACTGTCCGGCCAACACGGCCGGTCGCAACCGTATCGGAACTGTACATCGCACACAGCGTTCGAATAACGATGCCGCGGTCGTCGAAAATGTGTCGCCCGAAAAGTTCCGGAACCTCGAATGCGCTCGACGTAACGACTTGACCGCCGACCGAATACCGCACGAACCAAAGGTCGTAATGGAGTCGTAATGAAATCGCGATGGAACATTTATCTCACGCCAATCGACTTTGCGATCTAGACGAGATTTACGACGACTTGCTCATCAAAGCCAAATGCAAAAATGACGTGGACCGGGACGAGCCGTGATATTCGGCGAAGGCGAGTGTGATGACGGGACATACTGAACGAAAAAACGGGGCGTACGCGCACGCGTCTACCTCAGAACGGTCGACCGCTAGACGGCCGCGGCCACGGCTGCCAGCACTTGATTGCGGTCGTGTGTCGGCCGCCGCACTGGTCGCGCGTCTCACGCTGTTCTCGCGCGGTGAATTTCGCGCAAGCGCTGAGCCCGAAAAAAACCTGTCCAGTCTGTCCGCGTGCTGGCCGTCGGGCTACGCTGGCGCTCAGTCCGCGGGATCGCGAGTCGAACTACCGCGTTTGGTGTCCGCAGTTCGGTTTTCCGGCCACTTTCGCGTGTGGACGTTAGTTTTGTCGACTGGCGTACGTGGTTTGTCCTACGCGCGCGTCCACAACGGAACTCCGATTGGTCAGTGGACGGTGTCACGTCCGGTTCGTCGTCGGTTCGTTGTTTGCGTGGCTGGCTCGCGCTTGCCGCACTGTCCGCACCAATACAGCGTTGCAGTTGCAAGCCGCTGGCGCGTTGTTCTTGTTCTCGGCCGGAACCGCGATCGCCGTCAACTATACGCGTGCAATTCTTTGATTGTCATCTGGCTGCTCGCCGAGTCCAAAAAACGGGATAGCGTGGCCGTCGAAAACACGAACGCGACCTTTGTTGACCAGACGCACTCAAACCACGTGTTTTATTTGCGAATGTCGGCGACGTGTCAAGACTGTCGTGGGTGTTCGGACCGATTAGCGAGATCACCAACAGCGATATCGTTTGAAAACTCGGCATGGCTTCAAGCTCCTCCCTACACGGCGCTTTCATTTTCATCGTTTTCGATTGCAATCGGATTTCCTTGCAGAAGACATTTGTGACTTACACACCCATTACCGTGTCATTAAGAACTGTTTAGGTCGTCCGATGTTTCACCGCAGTGCCGTCGACGTACCTATTATTGTTATTCGCCACTATTGCGCGGTGTCAAGAGAAAAATTATTGTAAATCGAAAATCACTTATTCCATCGGGCAATTATAAATTCCGCCAATTTATAGGAAGTCGATTTTTGGGTCGAATTTAAAACATGTAAATTCCACCGGTACGTATTTTTGACCTGAAAACGTGTTAACTCCGCCAATGGTTAAATAAGTAACTACTAACTATAGTGATCATTTATTAATTATTATATACATTTTTTTAAATTTGTTTAAAAAAATGATATAAGTATCTAAATTTTAAGTATATAACCTATGTATAAATAAGAAATCTGTACATGAATTATGTACCTATTGTAACTTATTATCTTTATTATTATTATTGATTACTTTTTTTATTGTTATTTCGCCGTTTTTATTAATTTAATTTTATTTTATTTTTTCAACTAACTATAGTGTTCATTATTAATTATCATATTTTTTTTTTAAATTTGTATAAAAAAAATGATATAAGTATCTAAAAATTATATTATATTTAAATAAGAAATCTGTACATAAATTATGTACTTATATTATCTATTGTAACTTATTATTTTTATTATTATTATTGCTTACTATTGTTTTATTGTTATTGCGTGTTGAATAATTTTATATCATGCCTATACTGTAATACTAATTAATTTATCATAAATGTAAAAGGGTAAATCCCAAATATCTAAATAAAAATAAAAATGTACCGGTGGAATTTTAATTTTTTTCTCAGGAAAAAAAAGCAAATCGATAGAATTTACATGAAAAAAGGTTTAAAAATATCGCAATCGGTGGAATTTACATGTGCTCATATCATGGATGCAAAATTTTAAAACCGTTAGTCACAAGTCCATACTCTTCAGCTAAAGTACTTTTCGTTCCTACAAAAACATTTTGGTCTACGACTGTTTTCCATATAACTATTAACTGTGAAATATGAATTCATGTTTCAACGACTTGATTGTATGGTATTGAGCCCTGAATAAGTTAAAGTTACTCTGTGCGATACTAAATATTATTATCTATATTATACTCTCAATATTGTTATAGTTATCATTAAGGCTCAAATAATGTAATTTTTATTCTATAAAGCGATGATTTAAATTTTAGACATTTTTATTAAAATAGGTATTTTGTATGGCTAAAATGTTTGATGCACTATCGCCTACCTTTTCATGTAACTATTAATATGGTTTTCAAAAATTTTACAAAAAAAAACCCATATTTCATACGATATCTAAGTGAAGGAATAACTTTTGAATTTCGAAACTTCATTTACACCATTAGATTTGAATGTAGTTTCGTGTAATTAAGTGAATCGTTTAATACTTATTGTAGGAATTAGACAATTTAAATTATTATAAATAGAGTTTTAATCAAAAATATAAAGTTAATACTAAAATTAATTAAAATCATTTTTTAAATTTTTTTTAGGTATATTCAGTTAAAAAACATATTTATAAAATACCTTTGTAACATTTTATTTTTTAAATAGGTAGCTTAAATATTTTGTCGCCTTTCAAATTTTTCTGACTAGAGTAAATACTTCTTTTATACATACCTGGTTTAACGTGACCCTGGTACAATGTTATATTTGTTTTGACGTATAACCAAAAACATATTTAAAATCATCAAAAATCAACATTTTTTTACCTCTATTGCTTACAACAAATTTTGTTTTAAGAATTTTATAAATTGTTTGATAATTAGAACAGATACTGAATTGAAATATAAGAATTTAATATTTGTCAAATAATTATTGTGTGAGAATTATAAATAAACTATGATACAGTTTATGCTTCCTCTCATTATCAACGAATGATGATTATCAAAAATTATTGAAAATTATCACTGTATATATTGGTGTACCTATGATTTTCGGGATTATTTACAAATGTCATTGCTATTACGTACGTGTTACACCACTATATTTATACTTACCACAACATATATTGCTTATAAATTAAAACCATTGGTTTCCAAAGTTTTTTTGGTAGATACGTTTTTTGGCGAAAACGGGAATCGTACCTACTTTGTTTTGGGCTGAAAAGGGTAATATTATCATGGCGGAAACACGAAACTCTCCGAAATTTAATCGAAAACTGTTTTCACAATTAATCAACTAATAGGTAGGTACTAAAATACTTATAACATTTTGAGCAAATATAATATAAGTAATTAAATAATGACCTAACGCCCATTTTAATAATAATACTAGTATATAATAATCCTTATTAATATCCTACGACCGTATTACCAAATTAGTTTTTACGCTTCCTATTAAAACGTATAAAACATTATATTAATTTAGGTATTTTAAAATTCCGAGAGTCAACATAGCTTGTTTTTTATCACAACACATATTTTACTGTTTTCGTACTTAAACTTTTAAATATTGTTTATTAGATATATAGACAACATAATGTACTATTATAATAAAATATATTGGGATACAATTATGCAAACATCACATTATGTACATTATGCGTTCATTTTTATTATGTGTAGGTATTTAATTTAAAAACCTCAGAAATTGTAAAATCTCTTTCATTTTTTTTTTTAATAAAAGGCCAACGAGCTAATCCTCACTTGAATTATTTTGATAAACATCGTATTTAAAGATAACTTAGTAAAATATATTATGTATACAATATATAAATGCATAAATATATATATAATAATATACTGTATAGTGTACACTTGTTTGTTGGTAACTAAACCTTAATAATTTTAATTAAAATATAAGTAACAGTTTAGAATTTATATTTCTACCAAACTTGTATAAACAAATTTTCTATAAGTACATGGTATAATTTTAAAAATATTACTTTTTATGTTATTTATAAAATGTAAATTTTAAATATTAAAAATATATTTTTGTAGCTTTTAAAATATTTATTCATAATTGATAAAACATGACTGTTTTGTTTAAATTCCTAATAAGTGATATCCTAATAGCGAATTAGACTCCAAATACTTACTATGTACTATATGGTAGTACAGAATTTTATTCTTTTTTTTTATCCAATACTTTTTATCCCATATTACATGGTTTATGACATAGTAAATGTGTCTATAAAAATAATTTCATTCACAAGACCTATTGTTTTAAAAGTTAATTTTTTTAATAATGTATTCCTATTTTAATAAGATTAGTATATAGCAATGATTCATGATTCATATTAATTTTCAAGATAATGATCATTAAAATAATAAATCTGAAAAAAAATTCAAAATAGATTAACTCTAAAAAATAAAAATGAATAATTTTCGCTTATACTTTTATAACTTTAAATAAACGAACGAATGTCTTCATATAAAGTTTGAACTTACCTATTCGTTCCAAGGTCTACATAATAATCGTATTTAATATATTTTATATTGTACATGATTTATTTTGTAGTCTAATCAAAATGATGAATAGATAAAGAAATAGTGAGCAGTTTTAAACATTTTTTTTCAAAGACAAAATTCAATTCAAACTGTAAATGCAGTTGCTTACATTCGATCTGCAGGTTATGGCATCGTAAGGACCTATAGTTTATGGTGTGTTGGCGGCTTATAAGTTGGTGGGGCAAAATGAACATGCGTTGACGATGTGTTTCAGTATCACCGCCAACCAAGATAAGTATAAGTGTATAATGATTAGGTATTATAGTCTCGTAGTGCTAGCCACTGGCGATGGTTCACTCGCTAATATTTTATCCACGTTATTCAGAGGTGTGCTGTTTATAATATTATTAATATTTTGCAAATTTCAAAGTCTGTGCATTTTTTCTTGTTTGTCTTATAAGTTATTCTAGTCTTTATAACACTTTATTTACCATGGATGTGATATAGCCTACAACGCAACTGTCAATATGAAAGCTAATGTAAGTAGAACTATCGTTGTAAATTAATTATAACATTAATTATCTAAGTACTAGAATTTTGATGTAACCAATATAAACTTGATTAGGTATGAAAATTGTAATCGTATTTTTTTTCATCTATGACTTAATATTTTAAGCAGGAAATAAACAAACATATCTAAAAAATAATTATATCTTGTATACGTTACTTCAAAAAGTTCAATAAATTACATAATATTATACGTGATTAAACTTTTATTAATTTTATTAATATCAACCTATTTATCTACAAGAAAGTAGCTCCTTATCTTAACTGATTTGAAGCAATTGCACGGTTAGTTATTGACTATTTTAATGAAACTATAATTTATTAATATAAATATGTAGTACTTTTTTCGTAAATTTTACTATAATGATTTTAGTATAACCCCATTAGATAAATTATGAATTTTGTTATTAAACTACTCTGTAACCTACACAAATTACTTAAACTTTTATAATTTTAAAAATATTCAAGTAAAAGTACATGGATAATAGATGTCATGTAATAATAGGTACCAAAGTTCAAAAACTTATTTATAATAAAATCTACATTATAGGTAGTTATTATTTAAATTGTTAATTAAAAATTTTCAAAGAATTACAAATCATATCACTTAAAGTTGTCAGATTAGTATTTTTAAAAAATAGTAGTAACTTGATCATAATAACATATTAAATAGTAATACAATACACACTAAAATATATATTTATAGATATCATAAAAATAAATAATTATGGTTATAATATAATATTCTTCTTGATTCTTGAATACATTATCAAATATAAATTTGTAAAATTTTTAAATTAACTTATCGACTAATTAAAAAAAATTGAATAGTTAAATATTTGTTTACTATAATTCATAAGAAATTAATATTTTACTCAATCACCTACCTAATAGACTGAAAAATTACATTATTAATGTTGTCTTGTCTTAATTAAAATTACTACCCAAACTGTAATTATTTTATAACTTTGTTCAGAGAAAATAGACAGATGTTTCGTGTTGTTATTGTTTATAAGTTACAACCAGCACGTGCAAGTACAATATTCCCTATAAATAAATTAAAATATAACGACTGAAGTATGCAATTTATGGTGTCAATGTTTACCTTACGTTCTAAAATACATTTTAATAGTGCTATTTAAGACTTGTACATAATATACTGTTTTTTAAGTTAAATATACATTTTACACCTTTTTTTTTTTTTTTTTTTTTTTTTTACATAGATGATACATTATAGGTATATAATATTATAACATCTATAATAGGTAATAAAATGAAATCATATAAGCGACATCATTCAATTGATAAAAATCATAATAAATATAATATCCAAGTCTTGTAACAATTGTTTTAGTCGTAACTATTCGTAAATAATAATTATTTAAATTTGTTCAAGCATTCCATTTAGGGTTTTATCCGTGAATTGTACACGTATATATATATATCGTTGAAATAAATTATCATATGTAAATTAGTTAAAAGCTCAGTTAGGTACGATTTTATTAATAGCTCAATATTAGATTATTTTATTGTGAAATATTGTTCGGCAGTAAAAATAGTGGTTTTACAGTATGATTTAGGTTCCTATCTTCTTTAATATTATAATATTTAATTCATTAATCAAGATTAAGGAGTACCTGATGTGCTATAAGAAAAAAATTGTTTAACCCATTTATCGGCACAAAGAGGATGACAATTTATTTTTAAATTATCAACGCTAATGACTTATTATAATATTATATATTAAATATGTTTAGGTTTAAATTGAATGTTATTAGTTGATAAGTTAAAACTTAAAAGTATTCCCAGGTAATACTAAACCAACATGAGAATTTCCCTTAATTAATTTACAAGAATTTTATCAAGAATACTATTATAGGCCCTAAGCAGATACTTCATAATAAATATTATCTCCAAGTAAAGATCAAAGAAACGATAGCTAAAACTCATATAAAAATTCATATATATTATTCAATAATATAATATTTATTTAATTTATTATTGTATAAATATACTTCAAATCTGTAGGTTAGCGCCAAATGAGTGTTTTAATAGTGGTGCCAAAATTAAAGCATGCCAAAATTTTCTAAGTATGCATGTATTTTATTTAACGGTGCATGTGTGAGGTTGAATTGTCGTATATTTAATAATTTGATAAATTATAATATTACTGGTGTATAAGTATACATACATTTTACGTATTACGATAAACGTAATATACTCTTACTTTTAATCATAAGTCATTTGTGATGGATATAACTGTAAATTATATGGTAAGCCAATAAAATACAGTAAACAAATAGAGGTGCAAATGTATACACTCCAACATAATCCAATGCATTGAATAATATATAGTTCATAAATCTTATTACTAAATTAAATTTATTTTAAATACTAGATTATTTAAATTAAAGACAACATTTCAGAACGATTGAATACTCTAATATCTTATATTATTGTGTAAATCGTTCTGTTATAGTAACATAACGAGAAGTATAACTCTGTGTAGTTATACTTCTTATGCTACATGCATTCATAATCGTAATTTTAGGGTATAGAGAGCTTCTAATTATCCCGTGTTTTAGGATTTTTGCATTGCCTGAAATTTGTTTGGCAGTTCATAGTACAATTTTGCAGGAAGAAGCATTTTTAAATGTGGCTGAGTGATTTAACATATTTTTATTTTTTTAACATGAAGGTGATACGCTCGACTGCTCATTGGTGAGATAGTTGTAGTATGTTGTTATTTTGATCGTATACAATATTATAAAAAAAATATTTACCTTACCAATTTCCTATGCATACGAAATACGAATGTATATATAAATTATTATAATTATATTTGTATAAAATAAAATAGTATACACGTATACACGATCTCTAGATATATATATATTTTTTTTTGTCATTTATTTTTTGTTGTACAATCTATGAAATATTTTTTTTTACAATAACTACAAGTGATAATAATAGTTAACAATATTTACAATAAGTATTTAATGAGACAGTAATCATGATCAGAGAAGCCAACCAGTGTTGGGACTTCAGGGAGAGATTTGGCGATAGTTAGTCAGCCAATAGGTCTCGGCACCACGTTCTTTTTAGGCGCCTGCTGGGGTCTCCGGAGATGACGAGGATAGAGAGTTCAGCTATTAGTGAATTTCTGTGATTGTATGTACTGGAGTGAAAACGTTTATAGAATGATTTGGCAGTGTTTAGAACTGTTTGGATGGATAGGTCTTTGTGTAGTGTGTCATTGGAGATATAATATGGAGCTTTTGTTATTTGCCGGAGGCATTTTGATTGAAACGTTTGTATTTTTTTGATATTAGAAGGCTTGGCAGCTCCCCAGAGTTGTAAGCCGTAGGTCCATGTAGGTTTGAGGAGTAATTTGTAAATCAGTAGTTTATTTTTTAGATTTAGGTGATTTGATGTAAGAAGGTAGTGTAGTTGACGTGATCGATTATTTAGGGTGAAGCGCTTGAGGTGAGTGTGGGTTGCCCAGGTTAGTCGGCGATCTAGGTGCAGACCCAGATATCGGACGTTTAGAACAGTTGGTAGGGGGACGTTATTAAGGTATATGTGGGAACAGTCTGTTCGTTTGAGTGTGAATGTACACTGTATAGATTTTGTTTCGTTATAATTTTGATACTCCATTCTTTATACCAGATGGAGAGAAAGTTAAGATGGTTTTGGACAAAGTTAGAGGCCGTTACAGGGTCAGAGTGAATTACTAGAAGAGCTTTATCATCGTCGAAGTCGCCGGTGATGGTGTGGGGAGAGGTTACTTATGTTAATACTTTTTGTTTGAATAGATTTAAGCTGATAAGGATTCAACTCCTTATTACATTCTTCGTTTATGTTACATGTTGAATTATAAATATATAAGTATACATGTTTTGTCAATTATTGCCAGATACATTTAATTACAAGGAATTATTGTCCACTTAGTTAAATGACACTACACGAGAAAGATATTAAATTCAAATTAAATATTATTAAATTAATTGAGGGCCTTATGAATTCGTAAAACATTAAAATTGCTGATGTTCTCGCAGTAAATTAAAGTTAAAAGTTTAAACGCTTACAAAATTTGAATGACAGAATGAAGTACATACCAGGTAATAATTTTACAACATCGGTTTAAGACTTTTTAATGCTGTTATTGCATATCTTTAACAAAAGTAAATGTTTCAAATAAAAAAATGAAGCTCAAGAACTAACCATACTTCTCGTATAGGAAATATAATTTTTTGTGTGTAACTTTGATGATATAGGCATATTATGCGCATGAAATTGAAACATTTTGTATTGGTAAGATAATTGTTTAAGAATAATAATTGAGATTATGAATAGTAATCTTTTTTTTTATTTATTATAAATTATAATTATTAATTATTATTTTCTACTAATATTGGTTAATCTGATGATATTGTTCAATGATCTTAAATGTAGTATGAATAATAAATAATAACTTATGAGGACAACATTTAATTTACCTGAATGTAAGTTTATCTAATAAACTATTTTATTTTGTGTTTGTACAGAATATCAAAATACATTTGTTTATTGTCACATTTATATTTGTTGATTCATGGATAACTGCTATTGACATCCAAAATAAAGATATTAACAACTCAAATAAGTAAGTAAATTGTTTTCATTCTTACAGAGAATGTAATTTTTATTTAATACATATTTTATACATGAACATCATCTTAATAATAATAATAATAAAAAAAAAATAATAAAATAAAATAAAATACTATAATTTACTATATAAATGAGGTGCTTAAGAAAATAATTTTTAATAATTTAAAAATAATGAAATTAAGTTTAATTAAAACTGTAACTTTTAAACAATGAAAATATGCGTACAAAGTCTACAATACATAATTTATATAATGTGTTTGTGCTTAACATCTATTTAACAATAAATAAACATAATTTTATGAGGATACACCAGTATAATTTTTCCCTGTTACACGTGTATAATATAGTTAAAAGCTATCTCCGTATTTTACACTGTTCTAGATATTGATACTTGTTATAACAATAGTTATAAAAAATCATATTATCTGTGGTTTTTGAAAGCTTCTATTAATAATTTGATATTTGCAGAAATTATTAAAAATAATAATAAATATATCTTAAATTAAAAAAAAAAAACATATTGTGTTATTTATAACTTTATTAATAATCAAAATATTAATAAAAAAAACTTGTCATTCAGATTATATAATTTTTATAATTTTTATTATAGATAATGATACCTCAATATCATTAATATAATTAAAATGAGTAAAATTCGGAGAGGTTTTCATTATATCCAAGTGAGATAGTGAGATATAAAGAAAAAAAAGTTTTTACTGACATTAATTGTCTAAGGCATTAAATACGTATAAAAATAACTGTCGATACCAAACTTACATAAAAATATTTATATTTGTTGGTGTAATTTGATAACAGTAATAATAAAATTATACTTTTTTTGCACGCCAAAGTATAATTTATTGTATAATTTTATTACTTTTAATTTCGGATAGGTAACATATAAATATTATTATTTGTATAAAAATAAACTATACATTTTTTTTTTATTTGTCAATTTAATTATATAAAATCTAATAAATAATGGTGCATTAGTATGTAATATGTATATATATATATGCTATGTAGTACTTAAAAGTTATAGTCAATAATTTAATGATTCCATGACTTAAATAGAAAGTTTTGCCTATATGTTTGTACGTAAAATATTGTATGGTTGTTATATGAACCTTACTAACTTAACTTGGTTAGTTTAGTTGTATATTGTTTGTGTTTGAATGATTCAATTATTTTTACTCATCTTATTAAGAAATGTTTGTAATTATGTAATATAAAAAAAAAAAAAAAAACTGATGATTTAAATATTACGTCAGTATTTTATTTTAGATTATTATTTATACATTTTTTTTGTTAACTGTTATTATATGTATAATTTATAATTATATCATAATTCATAATACAAATATAATAATGTAGTATGTAATTTTATAATGGTACCTATATGTATTTCGTATTCATAAAATTGTATTACGCAAGTACACAACATCAAAAACAACTATCAAACATAAGCTTAAGCATTACTACCAAACAGTCAAACGATGCTGAAGACATACAGTATGTTTAAGAATATACAACAACTCTTTCTAACAAATACTTAGGCTGCAGTCTGTATTCAACGCATTTTTTTGAAACGTCAACAGCAGTTTTCAAACAGGTATTTTTTTTATAAAATAATTACTTTTGATTTCTGTATTTATTTTAAAATATTATCAAGAACAACGTTCTTTAATGAATAACATACGTTGATTTGGCATCAATGTTTTACAAAGTTAAGAGAAAATTTGAAATTTTTCTAACTGCAGTGGAGTTTTCTTAATTATATTAATGAGATTAGGTGTTTGTGTTATGGCACATGATAAAAAAAATAATCAAACTATGTATTTTGTTTTTTTTTTTGCAAAAGTTATAATTTTTTTTTCGGGAACCTTAATATACTTCGGCAATTTTTTTTTTTTTTAATATTTAGCACACCATTAGCATAGGTTTTTCCGTTTAGTTTTAAAATTTGTACGATACCCCAAGTTTGTTGGGACAAACTAAAATAAGTTACAAATGGTAAGAGACAGCAACTATTAACATAAGACGGTTGATGTATATAATACGTATGATAACGTTTTTTAGTTATCGATATACAGGTTCATTGTACACAGATAACAAAACAAATGTAACTTCCATTTAGGTATTTACTAATAGGCGTATATGTACCTACTTTAAGTTAGTAAAGTATTTCCTTCGTACTGTAAGGAAATGTTCTTAGTTAATAAATATTGACAGCGCTTTAATATAGATAATGTTTGATATAAAGTACTTATGTACAGTATTTAGCTATACTAACATCAGCATACAGCACATGTTTATTCATAAGACTCACAGTTTTCATTTATTATTTTATGCAGATAATATTATAGATATGTAGTATGACTTACATAGGTTCACATTATACCTAAACTCTTAAACAACCTGTCAAGTATTCATATTTACTATAATGTGTACGTTTTTGCGTATTAAATTGATACAATAACTATAAAAATGAACACTGTGTGGTGACCTTATAATGTCCGATACCTATTACTTATTAGTAATATTAAATATAGTTTTAAAAATGTATATATATGTATACAATAAAGTAGTTGATTCAATATCACATTTAAATCGGTGCCAATCATTATTTGATGTTTAATCCTTTCTTCGTTATAGTACGATATGGCCATTAAAAATATAATACTTTATATTTTAATATTACAAAAGTAATTAACTAAATTAAATGTAAAAGATAGGTTAAGTATAGGTGCACATTAAAAATATGTAAAATTTTAAATAACCTACAATATAATTTGCTTGTGTTCGTCAAATTTTATCAATGTTTGAACTTCAAACAATTATGAAAAAAAATTAGACCTGAAATAGTATACAACAATGTACGATAGGTATCATCCCGAAAACAATATTGTAAAACAACTATAGGTACCTAAAACATTGTTATGCAAAGAATCTAAAAATATACGCTTTGCCAGAAGAGTTAAATAATTCATTTTATGTGATTATTTACATATTATCACCTAATAATATTATATTTGTAATTTTGATATATATATATAATTTTAAATTGATTTATTGCGTTTTTTTTTTTTTTTTTAGGTTAAATAATAGCCCCGATGCATAAGCCAGAAAAATATTGTGGGACACAGTGGAAATGAGCTATAAAGAGAACAGCGACAAAAATCGATATTTTGTACTATATTTTTTACTATAAACTACTAGCATTATATTATTAAAATGCTAATAACTATGTAACGAATAATGATTAATTCAGTCACACGTCACACATTTGTAATAGACCTATATAGTATATCTAACTAGATAGTATTTATCATTGTTTTGATAATTAAAATATTATTGACTTATTTAATATATTTTGATAACTTTTATCTAATTTTTCTGGAATATTATTAATCTAGTTATATTTATACTCACGTTAAAGTTCTATTACATAGCTTGATTAATATATTATTAAAGGTCAAAAACGGACGATTATGAAACGACATTGCTTCTGGACGATGACGATGACGATGACGAGAACAATGATGAAGCTAATTCTACGGTTATAAAGCAAAACACAAAAATGTTTAACATCGATGTTATTAAGAGGTATGTATTTTATATAAAATTATGCGTACTTTATATTATATTTTCATAAAAAACGTAGTCGCATTTGTATTATTAACATAATTTAACCTACCGTGTATATATATATATATATAATTATTAGTTCAAATTCAATCCGTACAAAGTGAATAAGTAATATAAAATTATAGATAAGGCTAGTCTTACAGTGGCATGACTGTGAAACATGGATCTAAGTGAGACCAAAAATTAAATTTTTGTTGGCATAAACGCAATGTGTCATGACGTGACCAAAGACACGATAGGTAATAGAATAGAGTAAAACCGGAACATGGAATGTAGTGAGGCGTTATAGTCTTGACCTAATAAGACACTTATTCTTGCAAAAAAATAAATAGATCATTTTTCTATATTTAGGACCGACGCGGAACTGATATGTCAAAAAACGTTCGAATACAACGGCCATACGTTACGACACTGCTACGACGACTCGCACTGCAAGCTGTACGGCGACTGTTGTCGGGACAGTAAGTTCTACGTCGAGTCGGAGCAGAACGTGGCCATCTCCGGCGGCGTGTACAACAACAGCCGGTACGGGTGTTACGGTACGGACGGTATGAACGCGGTGCAAGCGCTGATGATCGGCAGGTGTCCGCGGGAGGCGTCACTAGATCGGGAGTTACGGGACAAGTGTGAGCAGCGACCGACCGACGATTTAATATCCGCCTACCCCGTGTCGAGCAGTTTTCCGGGGTACGTGTACAAGAACGTCTGGTGCGCCTGGTGCAACGGCGAACGTCGACGGGTCGTCTACTGGAAACCACTGTTCAAGTGTTACGGACTCAGCGGCCGGGTGGAAGCGAGCGTCCGGCTGGAGGACGCGTCCGACCACACGCTGTTGTACCGGGACGGCCAGTGGTATTACGCCGACTACGGAAACCGGACGTTGCTCGCGTGTAGCTTCCGGATCCAGCCACCGGACGACGAGGTCGGCACTCCGCCATTGCGGCCTTGCATCAGCAAGGGATCCACCGACATCGTAGACGGTTGTCCGGCCGGTACGCCGACCGCCGCGGCCCGGGCGTGCGCGTCGCACACCTACACCCTGTTCGAGTACCAGCCGAGCGGTGGCCGGGCTACGCGCGTGTTCCGGAACGCCGACTGCGCCCGGTGCAACGGCTTGACCACCGGCCAGTTGACGTGCACACCACCGCCACCGCCGTTGAGCAGCTCGCCATTCGGGTTCGGGTCGCTGTTTGCGGTCAGAGCGGCCGGAGAACGGCGCGACTTGTGCGCGCCCGACGAGATTTATGACGTTCTCGCGGCCAAGTGCAGAAACGTGATCCGGGACGAGCTGCCCGGCGCTTGCCTGACGTTCGTGACGTTCAGCCGAGGCGAGTACGACAGACGGACCATCGAGAACGGGACGGCGTACGTGTACGCGTACAAGAAACGCGTCCGGTACAGAACGGGCGATCGCCCGACGGCCACGGGCGCCTGGTCCCCACTGCAGGTGTGCACCGATGACGCGGACGGGCTGCTCCGGCCGTACGAGCAGTCGACGTACGCGGTGTATCTGTCGTGCGCGGGCGTGTTTGGATCGTGCGCGTCGGTCGCCGCACTGGTCGCGCATCTGGCGCTGTTCGGATGCGGCGGGTGTCGCGCGGGCGCCGAGCCCAAGAACCTGCCCGAAAAGAACCTGGCCAGCCTGTCGGCGGCCTTGCTGGTCGGCTACGCGGGCTACCTGTCTGCTGCTCTGCGCGTCGCGCCCTCCGACAGCGGACTTCCGTGCCTGATTTCGGCGCTCGCCACGCAGTTCGGTTTTCTGGCCGGTTTCGCGTGGATGTTCGTCATGTCCGCTGACGTGTGGATCGTGCTGCACGCGTCCACGAAGAAACTCCGGGTGGCCGGCGGCCAGCGTCACGGCCGGTTCGTCGTCTATTCGCTGTTTGCGTGGCTCGCGCCTGCCGCACTCACCGCGCTGTCCGCCGCCATAGAGTTGAGGTTGCGGGCCACCGACGCGCTGTTCTCCGAGCTCCGGCCCAACTTCCAGTACGACTGCTGGTTCCGGAACCCTCAGTCGCTGGTCGCGCTGTTCGTGTTGCCGGCCGGAACCGCGATCGCCGCCAACTACGTGTCGTTCTTCGGCGCTGTCCGGTTGATCGCCACTTCCGACGAAGGGCTCAAGTCGGCCGGCGGCAGCGGTGGCAAGTGCGGCAACGCGGCGGCCGTAAACCGGACGCACAGGAACCTCAAGATCTACGTGCGCCTGTCACTGATGATGGGACTGGCGTGGGTGTTCGCACTGGTCGGCGCGGTCACCGACAGCGACGTCGCTTGGACGCTCAACACAGCGCTCAATTCGCTGCAGGGCGCTTTCATATTCATCGCGTTCGACTGCAACCGGAACACCGTGCACAAGTTGGCCGTGTTCCGCAAACACCCGACCGTGTCCGAAACGCAAACCACAACGGCCAATACGCCGCTCAGCACGTCCACTTAGCAGCCTCCCGGCCGGAATAATAATAAGACTGTCCGACGCGGGCCGTGCGCTGTTAAATTGAGTGTAGTCATGCTTTCGACGCTATTCAGCGTGCGTAGGTAGGAGATAAATTTTATAAAATTAATGCCATTGCGTTACACGTCACCGCCGCTTTTGAACGACTACCCGATTTCTCCAGAATATTTCCCACGGCTTCCTTATAATATCGTTCGCATCATAGTTTATCGTAATCGTATACGGAGGTTTGAATGTCATTATTTTCATCTATATTTTTATTCGTCACTATATAATCCCAATTCTGTATTACCGCATTAAATGTAATAGTAGGCCGAATAAGCGTACGTTTTAATTGTTATATTTCCTTTAATAATAATAAACACTAAAATAAAATCATAACGTAAAAACGATTTTTAATGATGTTTTAACAGTTTGTATTAAAAGGTAAAAGAATATTTCTTATTATTTTTTCCTATTTCAACTTTTTGTTTATCCTATCATTTATGAATAAAAAAAAAAAATAATTATGTTATTATTATTATCTTTATTTTACACTATGGAAAATCTGCTCTGACTGCACTTATACAACTTACAGACCACTACAGTTACATTGAGAGTACATGGTTGTTGACATTGTTGTACACAAATAGGTTAACGGGTATAAAGCCATCTATTTGTAACACTGCATACAGTAGGTACAAATGTACTTCATATTGCTCTTATTTATTTATCGATTAAACAAAACTCGCTATACCGTTTAAGTAACAGGCGTCCAGCAAGAGGATTACCGATAATTATGTTGAAGTTTTAGATTAAAAGGTTAAAATGAGTGTCAGCCGCCTAGAAAACTTGCGTTAATAAAAAAAAAATTTTATTTTAAATGTTTAGCAATGTGCCAATGCCCAATAGTATTTTATTATTATTGTATTTATTTTTAAACTCAAAGAATTGGAAAAAAATAACTGTATAGTGAAGTTTTAGAGATCTTTCCAGTATAAAACATTGCTTAAAAATATATAGATAGATAATTTATAAGATCATATTGTGTGTATCTACTTATATAGGCTAATTCACGGTCTTATTTATGAAATAATTTCAATACGATTCTTATTGATACAAAATAAAATTTGTACTTCATAATTAATTGTTAAGTAAGTACCTACATCAATATTATCTGATATTTTTATAATTACTCTAAAATAGGTGATAATATTAACACGATTCCATTATTTCTATAAGTAATACATATAAAAATAAAATATTTTATTTTTATTAATACATTTCGGTACGTTATACTATGTAGATTTATTGTTCTAGTAAAAAAAATATTATATAACATCCAATGAAACCAGCTGTAATATATATAATTTTACGCTATAACGAGTGTAACGTCGATGTTTATCCATAGCAACACACGTAGACTACTAATAGAATCAATAGTCCAATAAACACCCTTTTACGACTGAACGAGGTTGTACAGTCATTGTTTTCGTTGTAGCTATTGGAGATTTTGTAGTTAAAAAATATTGTAATATAAAATAATTAGTATATTATTTATACTTAAACAATATTAGTGTATAGACCATGGAAGAGTTTGCAGACACTAAAGAAGATGAAAACAAGAAAATCGTTCACACCTATCCACTGGTGCAAGTGAGTTTACCCACACCTAAAATTATGCTTGAAATTGAAATATACCTATAGAATATAGATGAATTGCCTAACCAGGATTTTAGTTGGAGAAGGTGCTGACAATTATGTATGCGAGTCTTAACTAGTATCTCTCATAAGTCTGATATGCAAATGCCGTTGGTTGGTATGTGGTATACTGGTATACAACGTTTTAGACTTTTACAACAAATTATAATTTTAATACATGATTATTGTTTACCTATCTAATAAATTCACAGAAAACAAAAAATTTGGGTATCTCACTTAGATCTCTCCTCATAATGCCAATTAAAACAAACAGAAATAGAGTAATCCATGTTCATGTTACAAAACTTGTGTCGGCTAAATTAAAATTTTCTGAAATCCCGCTAATTTTGTATTTTAGTATTTGAATGGATCATGTGTGCATTGGCGACAATTATTTGGATATACATACCCATACTGGCAATACTTAAATAATTTTATTACCATTAATTATTGAATAGGTACCTACCCATATAAATATTATAATTTGGTATTGACTAAAATTATTACTAAATGTATATATTATATTAATTTTGCTAATTTTGTTTTTGATACCGACCATTAAACAAAAAATAAATATAATGCATTAAGAGTTTGAAAATTCAAAAATCTACTAAACTTACTATTTTTTTTTACATGTATACCTACACTTAATACGAATAATTTATATTTTAAAAATAAAATAATATTGTTCATTGTCAGCAGTGTGATATGTCAGAAGAAATGAAAGCTGAAACAGTTGAAGTTATAATAACAGCCTGTGAAAAATTTGGAACAGATTACTTTGTAAGATTAATCAATTTGTTAATTTAATTCATAAAGGAATTTAGAATATCTTTGAATATTTTTAACTTTTTACATTTGTACACTTTGGTGTTTATACCTAGATATTAGATTTATAACTAAATACAATATTATATTCTTATTCATTCCATCTAAGAAAAAAATATTTATATATAGGTAAAGGTTCCAGTGGACATACCTACTCATGAGATTTGAAATAGCCAATAGATACCTACGTTATTTTAATTAATTGGTTGATATGTTTTTAATAATACCTACCTGTCTAGTTAGTTATCACTACTAAACACTACGTATAATGTTAAAGAATATGGAAAAAATTTACCTAATTTATTTATTATTATTACTATCTATTTAGGTATTTATTTAATTTTTTCACCCTGATATAAAAAAAAGGGTTTGTTATTTAATTTTATTTAAAAGTATGCACAATTAATACTTATAAAGTTATAAATCTATTTTTTTTCTATTTTTATATTGATATTTGATACCTTTTAAGTAGGGTTTAGATTTTATGAAAATATAAACAGTTAAAATGTTCTTAAAATGTAAAAAAGTCAGAAAAAATATTTATCAAAAAACAATTTTGAATTTACTAATGAAGTAAACATTTTAATCCATAGGTAGTGTAAGTACTTTAATAATCGCTTAATAAATTAACTTTATCGCTGTGTCTAAGAGTAATAATAAAGCATCTATTAAAAGTAGTTTTAAAAATAAAATCTAAGCCTTTTCGCAAGCTTTTAACGATTCATATCATAATCATAAACATGTATACCTAAAACTATTATGGTCAGTTGATAATTAAATACTCTTCAAAAAATACCCTTCAAAAAAGATTCATAGGTAAAAAAGACAGAAATAATGTTAACTCATTCCTTAGAAATTAAATTAAAACAATTTTTAAACAAGAATTATTTTTCTATAGTAATCAAAATAAAAAAAGATATTTGCCTTTAATAAATCCTAGTCCTACTAATAATATTATTTGCCTTAAAAGTTTTTAGTAAGTATAATTTTTAAAATAGGTACTCAACTAAATCGTAATTTCTAAAAAATATAATAAGATTTAAAGGTAGGTATTAACTACTAGGTATTATTAAAAAAACCTATCTTACAGCATTTCGATTATAGATTACTTCATGTCACAAAATTCCTGCATTGCTTTTTCTTTTAAGTCTTCAATCAATAAAATGTACCTAACTAATTTATTTTATCTTTTATAATTAACATTCAAACTTAATTTATACTTATTGTAACATATATATTATCTATATGTTTATAGATTGTAAAAATCCTAAATTAAAAAAAAAAAATGAAAATTATGGATGACAAGTTGTGGTTGAGTTTAAGTTGAGGGGATAAGCTCACAGTGAGTTATAAAATTCAAAAATAATTGAGCGGGTAATCACTAATCTCCTTGTCTATAGGTTCAAGGTTGTAGCAGTCGTCGCTTTATTATATACAATTTATTACGACAGAATGATGTACAGAGTTTTATTGAATAATGTTGGAATAAATTGAACAAATAATAATTAAGAGGGAGAGCCCTTTAATTATATCTACACCACCGCTGTATAAGTGTATGATTCCATCAAAAATATAATAATGACATGACTTTGACAGGCGGCGGCCAAAACTGTAAAACAAATGCTCGACAAGAAATACGGCCCACAATGGAACGCGGTGGTCGGAGAAGCGTTTGGCATACAGATAACGCACCAGACTAATACGTTGATGTACATGTTTTTTGGTGGCAATCTCGGTATTTGTGCCTGGAAAATTTGATCGCAACATGAGATTTAAAGCTGTTCTAAAAACAATAATAATACAATTGAATATTATTTAATTATTATACAATTATAATACCGTGTAATATATAATATTATTAAACATTTTACATTACCTTATTGAAATATTGGATCTACAACAATACCTATCAATAACATACCAGTGAAATAATTAATATGAATAATTGGGTATTGTTAAATGATTTTGTAAAATATTATTGATTGTAAATGGTTGTAATCACTAATCATCAAAAATACACGTGTACTATATATTTAAATCTTGTAGGTACCTAAGTGAACAGTCTGGAGTATAGTTTGATTGTACGATATTGTGATTAAAATAAATTTATATGTAGGTATACCAATTTTTTAAATTTTATTTAGAAGGGTTATATATTCTGTCTTAAGCGACACCTAGGATATGACCTAGTGGCATAGTCGTTATCGGATATAGTTCCTTTTCTTAATATCAATAAACACGGACAATAAATAGCTAATTGTACATTTTAAAATTTTCAGTACACTTTTTACTTTTTAAGAAATTACAAATCAATGCATTGCTCAAAAAAACAGTTTTTAATATATTTAAAAATATATTTTTAACATTTTTTTTAAATGACTTTCCGTTTAGGGAAAGAGGAAAAAATATAATTTTTAAACTCTCCTCCCTTTTTTTATCAAAAGTAAAACAATAAATAGTGAATGTTCATTATTCACTCAATGCACCACTAATGAAAAATGGAAATATGTTAGCTTCTTTAGCAAACTTATAGTTTATTTTTAATATTGATAAAAACAATAGTAATAGACAGAAAAAAAAAAACAAATTTACCATCAACAAATAACTGGAGATATTATATTAATACAATTATCAACATTTTATCTACATTCTATAGCATAATATATCTTATTGGTAATTGAAAATTCAATGTATTAACTTATAAAACATTAGTTTTTAATCAATTACATTCAACTATGAAAGATTAAAAAATCACTTAATCAAACTATAGACATTGATTAGGAAGTTACACAATATCGGAAATAATTATAAAAATAATAAAAGTAGTTATGGTCATTTAAAATTACAAGAAATTAAAATAATTTTTAGCTATTAATTATAACAAAAGTAAATACATGTATATAATGGGAAATGAACTAATTACCAAAATATTAGTTATTAAAGTGATGTATAAATATATAAATTAAATTACTTTTATTTAGAAAATTAAAGGTTAGTAAAATTTTCAAAATTAACTCGATAAACATAATTGCAAAGGATTAGATAACTTTTAAAATTAAAATTATTATTGGGGTACATTTGTAGATAAAATGAATACAAACAACAATATTTAAGTGCAATACTAAATTATATTTAACATAAGCAATGTGGCATTAGTTTTAAAAATGTTTAGTTCAACAATCAAAAATATTGTACTAAAAAGAAAATTATAAACTACTCACATTTTTGCATACAGTGTTTTTAAATACATAATATATATGTTAATTGATATAATAATAGTATACTTAATATGTATTAGGTAACATGATACATTTTTTAATAAAAATTAAATAGCATAATAAAAAAAAAAAAATGCATCATTTTATCCATCCCCAATTAATATTATTACAATATAGTGATAATTTAAACATAACTGTTGTTTATTATAAAAATTAACTTAAAAAAAATAAACTATAAAGACATATTATATTTTGTCATTTATTTTTTAATGAGCACACATAATTTTGTTATTTGATTCTAGTTCACAGCATTAACTAACTAAATGTTAATTATGATATAACTGATACAAATATTAAATCCACTGGGCAAAAATTAATTTGATAACAGTTTACTTTTGTCACTTTATTTTTATAAGTTTTTACCATTTAATATAATTTATAAAAACAATTTAAGTATATAAACATCTGATATAAATTGGTAATGGATTTAAATACATACATAAAAATACATTTGTATAAAATAATTTAATTAAAAAATAACTGTTATAAAAATGGATAAGTTTTTATCTGAAAATGAACTAATTAAATTTTTGTCATTTCAAAATTTGACATTACATGTACAATGAATAATTAATCTAGATTGATATATTACCTAAAGGACTATAAAAGCAAATATCTTATAGAATTATGAATAAATTAGATGGATTATTTTATTTTGGCACTTAGCTAAAATCAAAAAAAAAAAAAAAATATCATTACAACTGATTAAGTCTCCTCGTTTTATTATAGAACATGAACAATTGGAATGTATCAGTTTTAATGAAGATTTAGATATTTGCAAGACTTCACACATTAATGGACATATTTATGTGAAAATTATCATTATACTATCATGATGCATTTAATTGTTTTCTGGAGCATCCCATTTTAAATGTACTTGAGGTGTTAAATTAACAATTTCCACATGAACAGCTTGGAACTTTTCTAGTTTTGGAGGAATAGGGCACAGGCGATAGTGTACTTGATCTCCAGGTAACGGAACAAATTCTCCTTCAATACTAAAAAAACAGCATGTCATTAGTAACAAATCAAAATAAATATTAAAACCATAACATTTCTTACTCTGATATATGTACAAATGTATCTGGACCACCATTGTCTGGGGTGATAAAGCCATGTCCTTTAGATTTACAAAAGTATTTAACTTTCCCAGATATTTGTGGATTCTTGAGAGCAAGAGCAGATCTATACACAACAATGAAAATTGAAAACATATGGTTAGTAATAAAACGTGCATTAGGATCAAGCAAATGACCCGTGTTGCTTAAACACGATCGCCAACTAAGAAAATGTATAACGACTAACAAAATCATTTCATCAGCCAAATGATCAGTGACACAACAGCCATCATCTTTAATTAATAATATCATAACATATAGTTTATGTCAGCGTTTTCCAAATAATGGGTCGCGACACATTGAAAATATAACTTCGAGTCACAGAATTAATAAAATTCTCATATTAAATTTTGTTAATTATCATCTTGTTTGATTTTTTTAACTTTCTAGTAAAAATATTTACAAAGTATTTACAACATAAATAATAATTAATAAGATTATTAACTAGACTTCATAAAAACCCGTCTATAAAGTATCTATAAATTCACTCAGACACATTTAAGAACGGCCATTAATACATTTTTGGTTATCTTCTCATCAAGTCAAGAGTACCCAGTTTTAGTAGAACAAACAATAACATTTCTCTGGCCTTTTGTTATGACCTATACTCGTAAGTGTAAAAAAGGATTTTCAACAATCGTGTTCCTGAAGAATAAATACCAAAATCAGTTGAAAATTGAATCAGACTTAAGAATAAAATTAACGTCCTTTCCAAATTACTTGAAGTTCCAAGTTAAAAATAAACAACTTCACACTTCTCACTGATGGAAGTCAACTATTATAATTAGTTTAACTATATTATAAGTATTATATTGTTGTTACAAATTAACACTTCAATTGTATTATAAAAATGTATGTGGACATTCAAATGTGTTTTATTTTGCATTTTTTTTATACAATGATAAATGTAAAATATTTTGATGGGTCTCAAAGGGGAAAAATATCAATTATCAGGACGGCTTAAACGAGAGTTTGGGAAATGCTGGGCTATGTCATAAAAAATTGTAATTCTACTCACGTTGAATCAGTTCTTGTTCGTCTGGTCACTATTGGGCTTGGGGCGAGCATGCCACTCTTGGTCGGTGACAGGTGGTTGTTGAACTTTAAAGTTTCCTGTTCACAACCGTTGGAGAATGATTCGCTCATGGTGTTCAGGTTTTCCAGTAGTCCGTAGAAAATTAGACGCGACGAACCGGTGTATGGTGCACGTTGTCAATTGATAGTTGATACCACGTTGAGACGATAAACAATTAATGAACGATATTACTATGTGCGAATTTGTAGCGTGAAAATCTCTTTTACTCATCCAAACACACAGTAACAGTATTGTTGTAGTAGTATTAAATTGTAAATTTATAAGACTTGTGGTAACTTGATAAACGCTTAACGCGATGTGGAGTGTGCAATGCGCAACGAATAATAATAATAATAATAATAATAATATTGCATTAACAATTTAACATTATTACGCGCTATTACAATTTGCGGTATATCATTATTATTATTTTGTATTATTGATAACTAAAAATGAAGTCTTGCATTTCAGTAATGCCAACGTAAGCGACAACCAAAAAAAAGAAGACTAAATAATAATGAGTTATCATAGATAGTATATATTTATATATATATATATTCTTTATTATCAATGTGTGTTAAACTATCATTAACGATATAATTGATAATATTATCATCCACAGTTATCATCAACAGTGTGATCGTTAAAAATACCTATTGGCTATTCAGCCTATAATAAATAATTATTGTACTAACTAATAATCATAATTCATAAGATACTTACATTATAACATCGTTTACCCGTGTGTTTTATGCTTAAAAATATTAATCGTTGCGTTTTTACGAAATAATTGATTTGAATTACAAACCACGATATTATAATTTATGTAAATACTTATTTAGTATTTATTGGCTATTTGGTATATTAATTGCGTTTTGTGATGTGCCAATAAGTATTATTGTTATATTCTAATGCGCATATTCCGTATGACATGCGCACATACGTCTATTCTTATTATGCGATAATAGTATTACTAGTAATATTTTAAATTATAATTAGCAGGTATTAGGCCGGGGCTATACACGGCGTTTTCCGACGGACCAGTTACATGTACAAGGTGTATCCGTCGACCGTATTCTAATGCGTATATTAGTATAATATCTAAAAAATTATAAAATTATTGTATAAGTTCGACGTTTTCTGTCACCAGTATAGCCCATTCTAATTTAAAACAGTGTAAAATTAGGAGTTTGCGTTTTAATTACTCCGGCATTCATCCGCCAAAACGCAAGTAGACCGGCGTTCCCCGCCGCGGATGAAAACGTGGTGTTTTCATCCATCGTGTATAGCTACTTTGATATAAGACAATGAATCTTGAACTCGTCGGAAAACGCGCGGAATATGCCGTGTTTAGCACCGGCCTTAGGTACCTAATCACCTTTGTTTCGTTTATTTCGGTTTTGATTCGAGTAGACGTTACGCAGTATATTATACCTTGTATTTATTATTACATTATATTGATTAAATACTACCAATAGACATCAAAATTATTGTAAAAAAATATATTATTGGTCATGCGGGATAGTTTTTTGGTATATCATATTAATAGGAAGTACCCATAGTCTCCGGATAGAACGGTTTCCCTAATGATTACATACTAATAAAAACAGAAAGTAATTATTTTAATTAGGTACCTACGTTCCAATCGATTAATATTTTCTCAGTCATTTGGTGTCGTTTTTTAAGTTTTTATTTTATTTATTTAATTAATAATAAAATTTATTTAGCAATAATAACAACATCAATACATATGTATTTAAATAGTATCATAAAAATAGATGCGTTGCAAGCACAACCAATAAGCAAAAAATGTTGTGGCGGTCAAATTGATTTTTTAAAAATAAGATTATAAGAAAACAAAAGAAAAAAATCCTATAAGTTAAGACTTAAATATAAAATAAAGTACCTACACATCGAAAAGAAATAAAAATATTGCTAATTAATACTTGTGTTTATTAAAATTAGCAAAATTATTTAAATTAATATTATAAATGGGAAGTAAAGAAATTCCTTTAATTATTAAATTAAGCGTTCCGAAATTAGATTTATTAAATGGTACCTACTATCGAATTATAATTATTTTTAATTCTTGCATTATAATAATGAGAAGGTTGATACATTTATTAATATTATTTTTACACTTATATAATAAAAAAAGTCATTCATAAGTTTGAGTAATAATAGAAACCTAAAACTTACAATTAATTAAGTTAGAAGACTATAATCTAGATTTATTAAGAATTAATTTAATTAAGGAATTTATTGTTTAAGACAATATATTGATATGGGAGGAGTAAGCGCAGTTATATATTAGAGACTATAAGAAAAAACTGACTGTGCAAGTGCTAAATAAATAATTCTAATAATTATAGAATCTAGCATTACTTTGAGTGAACAGAATTTATAAAATAATTTTCTAATCAAATTATTTAAATAATAAATATATTCAATACATTTTAATCCATAGTATAAATGTATAACAAGATATCTACTTGATGAAATAAACTCTTTCCAAAGGACAAAGGTACACACTACACACACACAAGGATAATTATTAATTTACATATTTATAATTAAAAGAGTTTACATATTCTGAAAAGTCAGGATTTATTTTATGATATGAAGCATTTGTAATATTATTTAACTGTAAATTATTATGATCGCACCAATTATTTTCTGACATTAAACAAAAATTAGCTTCCTTGCATAAATCAACATAATTTAGGCTTTTATTGAGAACAACAGTTTCATCAGTACAACATAGTATATCTGCATTATGGTTTAAATTTAAAAGTCCGTTGATGTTAATAATAAACAAAATCGGATGAAGTACTATACCTTGAGGACAGAAAAGCAATTTATTATATCATCATTCAGAGCAACTTAAGTCTTACTAGTTGAGGTATATCATTAATAAATTAAGATCAATTCCCCTTATATATGTGTGAAATGTGAAGTTTTAGTTAAAGGATTAATGGTAAATATATTTGAATGAAAACCAAATTGATTAGATGAAAAAAATCATGTTTGTTTAAGAATGGCATTAGTTTTAGATTTTAGTGACACTAATAGGTTGCTTAAAGCTTATATATTTATATTCTTATTGTTCATATTACTCATAAACGGTTAACTCTAAAATGTGATGATTTTAAGTCATTACCTATGCCAAATGATTAGGCCAACTTTATAAATGTATATAATTTTAGCAAATATTAATTTTCAAAACTTCGTGATATTATCAAATTTTGTCAAGTTTAAAATGCTTATAAAAAAAATTATTAGGATCCAAAAACTAAAAAAAAGTATGAACAATTCCGAATACTAATAAAGAACTTATATTTAGTATAAATATTTTTGAGTTACATTGAATATTGACATAATAATTTTATTCAAATAAAAGTGAAATGTTTTAAATTTTTATCAAACATTTGCTAAAAAATTTCAAGTACTTAACTATGGTTTTAAATTACATCAAAAAACTAAAATAATTTCACGAAAAGACGCAATTTAAAGTTTGATTACAAGATTAAGTAAAACTTACAAGGAACTTTGTATTTCATTTTATAACCTTACCTAAGAATATTCAAAATTTTATGAATTTTCAATAACAAAATAATTTACAAATTTTCGCAAATTTTAACTTTTTGCTTGGTATGTTTTAATAAACAAATTAAGTTTTTTTTTTTTTTTAATGTTGACGTAAGTATGAGTTTTACTAAAAATAAATTAATAATTTCTTTATGATGTGTTTGAAGAATTATACCTTGATTTCTAAGACCTAATGATATTTTACAAAAAATCACACACACACACACACACACATAAATTAATAAATAACTACTCCATTAAGAATATAAAACTAATAAATACTTGCATTATTAGCTCATAAATATTTATACTTTAATTTAGTTTATAGAATCAATGTTTTAAAATTATAGTCTAGTGAACACCAGATCACACGATTAAGGTCAGTACTTGTATACACAATTACTGAATATTTGTGTTTAATGATATTTGGGAGGCTAAAATGAGTGTATGTGTTGAAAGTATCAATGTTGGTACAAGTACTTACAATAATTTAACAATAGATTATTTATAAATCGTATCAATAAAAGAATAAAATATATATTATAATATTATAATCAGATATATAATAGGCTATTGATGTTTTTATGCACTTATAAGTGTAATTAGACGTTTAAAACAGAAAGATACATGAAGATATAATTTTAATTAATCATTAAAAAATATAAATTGTGAATATAATTGTTATAATATCAAACTTTGTAATAACTCTTTTAAATAGTACTATCTTATCGAGTTTTGTAAAAAAGTATATAATCAGTGTGTATTGAAGTGATTATACACTAATAACTACTGTGATTTTTTTACATCATGTTTTTCAATTTTTTTGAAGTACCTAGAACATCTATCTACAAATTGTTTGAAGTCCCCTTCTTTGCTAACTTTTTATATGTATAAATATTTTCAATAATTTATTGCATACATTTATTTATAATTAATTGTTGATGACTGCAATTATGGTAATATTCGACGGTCTTGTTACTTCATTATATTCTAGTGAGTATTTATATTTTTCATTAATTGTGTTATTTTAGTTTACTAAATTCTAAAAAATACACCACTTAAATTTTTCTACTAAACAATGTACCAGTGTCTATGTAATTTAATTTAAATGTTTTGTATTTTTAATTTTTGTTTATGTGTTATAAACAAATAAACAACATGATTTAATTTTTTATAAATCATAATTTTATTATTGTAATATGTATCAATTCAAAAACTATGTAAAACTGGTATTTTGAATAATACTCAGTTCTTGGTTATTTAAAAATATTTAATTTAGATACTAATTAGGACTTGAAAATTTATAACATTTGTTGGGTTTTCACTCTTTAGAATCAATTTAGTTAGGTTTTAGGTAAACTGAACATATTTTTAAATTTTATTTTTATTTTAGTTTAATATTTTATTATTTTGATACTGATAACTGATATTTACTTACGAGTCCGAATTAGGATGCATTCAGCATTGACTAAATTTTTTGTATAAATTATTCTTAAATATTTATAATAAATGAATATAATGACAATAAATGCGTATAGAGTTTTATGTTAAGCGGATAAGTTTATTTGTATTATGTTTCAGTATATGACTACTTATATTTTTTTTTATACAAACGACAAGTTTCAAGTTTCAGTGTACGTGGTTGCTTTCCCTGTGTCGAGATAAATTAAACTTTGAAATTATATAAGTATATAAATTATTTATTACTTATATGTTAGTTTTAAAGTAATTAATTAATACATCCCAAGAACGGCAAGAACTGACTATAGTACATGGTTGTTGCAATTTTTCCTATATTGATTCAAAAAATCACAACACGATTATGCATTAATATATTTGTTTATTTATTTTTTAAATGTATTATTATTAATATAAATATATTATTGTAATGAATTTTAGCATGATGTTATGTTGTATATACAAAAATAAAGTATCTAAATATATTATTAAGAGTGCAATCGTGTTGTTATTATTTTGATTTCCGGGTCAAATAAGGAAAAAGTACGTAAATATATTAATAATAATGTACAGAATGATCACCAAACATACTTATTCACTTTTTATTTTGTAATCTCTATTGAAGTTATCTAATTTATGGAACTTCCAAAGTATACTTTTGGATCAGTGTTTCCCAACTTTTACTGTTTGTTGAGTACGTGACTTTCCACTAAAATATAATACAGTACTGAATAATAAATATTATGCAATATTGTTTAATATTAAAATTACTTTTAAATAAAAATATTTAAGTGAAATATATGAAGTATGCTAGAAATAAAAATTAAATATAAAAATATGAAAAATTGGAATTGATATATAGTAAAAAAATTAAAGGTATTTTTGGTTTTAGATTTTGTGTGACTGCTGATTCTAAATATTGTTGCATAATATTTCTCACTGGGATATGTACAATTTCAGATAAGTTGATGCGCATGTTATTATGTTTGACATCTAATCTACTTCTTTGTTTTGTTTTAATATTGATCATGGGGTAGAAAATCTTTTTTCGCATAAATAGTTTTTTTTTTTTATCACATTTATTGAAAGTTTTGAATATTTATTGTTTATGAAACACCAAAAATCTACAATAGTTTTATTTTAAAATTTACTTTTATAGATGTTATCATAAAAAAGTTTTATAATCCAAGTTTCAAGAAGCTTAATGAAATTAAATTCTTCAATAGAAATTATTGAAAGGATTTTTAGTTCATTGACAATCGTCATAAATATCTTTTAGAAAATAACTATTCAATGCAATTCATATTTGATTTAAATTGAATGATATAATTGTTTTAATATCAGTGATATTCACTGACTTGTCTTATCCTAGAAACTCGTTATGTGAAAAAACATATCAATATTTTCTAATCTCTTGTTTTACTTATATTTTGTAAATAATAACTTTTTTTTTAAAAAAACAATGAAACGATTTTTTTTTTTTTATAATGGATGAAAAAGTTAAATATTTTATAAATAAAATACATTTTTCATAAATATCATAATTTTAAAACCTAAATGTAATAAAATATATACTGTATTTCGATTATTTGGTAGTGTTAATTTTTTTTTTTTCTAATTGCTAGATGGATTTACTTGGCTGGTACCATCGGCTGTGGTTTTACAAATAATACATTTATCAATTAAAAAATTAAAACTTAATTAATAAAATTTGATTATTTAAAAATGAGTGTCTAATCGCAAACTAAAATGTTTCATTTATACGTACCTGAATGCTTTCGTAGTTTCGATGTACGGATCATCGCTGAATTTTATAGACAATCGACCAACACAGCAGTGAAAATTATTAGCATATTTACCGATAAGGCAATACATTTTCCATAATTGTAATAAAATAACACATACGTCACTAAAAATATATTGATATTTATTATGAAATATATTTCCTACATTTTATAATACTAGTTAACTTTTATATTATTATTATATGTAGAGGTATCAAATAAAATTTAACTTAAGCATTTATTTATTTGCGGCTAAAATTATTTTTATTTATTTACATAAATTTATTTTAAACATATATAATCAAGATAATTTTCTTATTAGTTTACGAACATTGCTAATTGCGACCTATAGGTTGAGAAACACTGTTATAGACTATTATATATTTTAAAATTCTTGAAATTTTCTGTACTTCATAAAGGTGGTGACTTGTAGAGATACAAACTTTTATTTTTCAAACGAGTACTTCTTCCTTTTCAAGATTTTAAGTTATTTTGTGCATTCAAGAAAATATAGGTCTATGATAAAGGGTTTGGTAGATATAGGACTATAGTACTTAATTTGAAATTTTTAATTATTAATATTGACTAATTATGTATCAACATTTATAATTTGTAAAAATATTCAAAGTATAATAAATATTAGATATAATATTATATATATTTTATATTTTTGTAAAAATATTTTTAAAGACTGATTATTTTAGTTTAAAGGTTTTAATTATTGAAAAAATACTCATTCAAAATTTAAATCAGGTATCTAGTGTATCAAATTAATACATTTAACGAATAAAATAAATTTATAACTAAAGAAAAAACAATTAAAGTGAATATGTTTTTATAATCACTCTGTGCAGTAGTTTAGTTAGATAACAAAACGTGTTGTTTTTTATGTTCATTATCATCGGCTTATACCAGACACCAGTGACACTATGTCACTAATGTCACTATTCACAAAAATGTAATTTTTAAAATGATATACCTAAGTTAATCTCCATCTTAAAATATACTTAATGACGATTAATAACGTCTTATAATTTAATTCTTACTAGTTTTTACACACTCATTTAGAACACTATTGATTGATTTATCTAGAAAGAAAATAAATAAATGTTTATTAGTAATGAAACGTTAAATATAAAAAAAAAAAATTATACATATTGCAAATATAGATTTTATATATTTACGGTTATATTGTTTAAATAATGTATTAGATGTTGTAACATATGTTAGTCATTATGTAACTGAAATCTATTTTATTAGAGATATTGAATAGTGCAAACAATTTTGGTCCAGTAAAGTGTATAATTTATTAATCAATAATATAATATGTATGATTGTAGCTTATATTATTATTTATTACAAATTTTACTAGAAAAAATACAATTATTATTTTTAGTATTTCACAGATTAAAATAAAACAGTATTATGTGAAAATTTTATATTTCGATATTCCGATAATTCCAGATGTTACGATATCTTTATATGTACTTACAGACATTAATATAGGTCAATACTCGTATTAAATGCAGTATTGGCTTAGTTGTTTTTAAATACAAAACGGACACGGTCGTGGCGAAACGTGTGATTTACTTTAAAACATTTATCGTGAATTTGTGTAGTGTATATTATACTATAGAGAATGGTATTAAATGTAATTAATGCAGAACATCGTAAAACTACATATATATTTATTAATGATAATAATTTGGTAATAATATTATAATTTGAAAATCTTAACATTTACTAGATATTTGCAATGTATTTTAGGTGCTGAAATTATTTACGATATTGGATATTAAAAATGGGTATGTATGACATTTTATTGTATCTAGTATAATATTTGTAGTAATACTAGTATTATATATTAATATTTATAGTAATAATTATTTATCATTATCATTATTCATTAATGATAAAATATTACTTAAATGTATGTAAGTCGTAGGTACTTTATTCTCTGTAAAAACTTTTAAAACAATTATTGTCTTATTTACACATCTATGTTATTCATAAGTAAATAGAGATGCACTTCAGCAGGGTATATTTTCATTCAAAGTACGATAATCATATTTACTTGGCAATATTTTCCGGTGTACAATGTCAATTTCCCGTAATCTCTCGTTTACTCGTGTATTATGTGTAATAATTTAATTAGTTTAATCTTTAAGTATTTTCATAATGTTGTATTTTAGTGTGAATTTTATTTTTTAGTAAATTTACTTATTACTAGATAATTATTTTTAAAACAGACAAATAAATTAAATGAAAATGCATCAATGAAATACTTTAATATTTTATTACACATTTGAATGCTTAATTAATATAAGTTAATACATTATACATTACTTTATATTAATACATTTTTTAGGTACATTGACATTGATTGATCTAAAAAACTATCACGTATCATGGAACATTTTCATACTAATACGTTTAAATAAACTATCATGTTACAGTGAGAGTAGTGAGACCTCTATACATAGCGGATATTCACGGGACCATTAAAGTTGTCTGATTTCGAAAGATGTTCGCTATTGGGAAAAATGAATAAAAATAAAAATCTAAGTTTAACTGACTTAAAAAAAACATATTATTATTAAAAAAAACTGAAATTTTTGTTTATTTTTTTCCTTGTATGGAAATTGCTTGAAATTAGACTAGAGTTGACTAACTAATAACAATGAAACTGTATCACATGTATTGTGACAAAACGTCTTCAGCTGATTTGATAACTGCGATGTTTTTTTGGGTGTCATTTTCGCTTTGCCAATATTATTATAATTTTATATCTTGTTTTATATTATGTTCTTAATTTTAAAAGATTCTAGACCCGTTTAAAATGTCTTCAATATTCAATGATAAGTATTCGGTTTATAAGCATTCATCTATTTAAGAATAATACTGTGCTTTCATTGGATATATTCTTGAAGCTAGTTCTAACGACTCACTATTCAGATCACCTCTAAAACTTGGCTTTTAAGTAAAAATTAGTGATTGTTTTCTTGTTAATTTTTTTGATAACTGTGGTAGTTTACAGAACTGTATCAAGAACCGTTACGTTTAGTTTTTCTATATTTTTGTTTACCATGAATAAAATTTCATGATTTAAAAAACTATAATGTGGTAGTGAGTTTTGAAATTGTATATAACTCTGAGGTCAAGCTAAAGTCTAGTTACTTTAATTCTTGTATCATCCAAGCTTTACTATTAACCTTCCACGATACTCCAATATCGTTAGCGATAATGTTCTTAAAACGCTGCGGCGGGTTTTAGTGCCTTTTCAATCACCAAAGGTATTTCAAAATCATGTTCTATAGAAAAAATAAGTAATGTGCAATTCGTCCTTTACTTATTTTTCCGCCATGGCAGTTCTCACCTTAGAGACACATTGTTTTACCGGGTAAAGCCCAGACAAACAAACCGGTTTTGTTTAGATTGTAAATATTATTTAGAATAATCTTTCACATATTTTAACTAATTTATTTTTTCAATCGTCCAAAATGTCAACGTCAACGAATCTATTTTCCCTAGCTTTATAAATAATGTTATGACGTATGCGAAATTTCTCAATTTATAGAACGTTAGATGCTTTAAAAATAGTTAATCTAAATCTCCAGCGATTTATACAGATTTTTACTGTATGAGAGGACTGCTAATGAGCAAATTTTTAGTACGAATCTAGCAGAAACATTTGCAACACACAAAATCTATTTTAAAGCCTTTACTTTTTACGAAGTTCCTTTTGTCTCATTATTAAGAGGTGTTCATTTAGAGAAGTCTCACTGTATTATAGTCATCACTCACCAACTTGATCATTGTGGTAGCTTAATACACAAATTAAATTGTTAAAGTATTAAGTAATGATTATAATAAATTAATTTTGATAATTACACGTAATTAGTTTTTATTTCTATTGCAGTTACAGTGGAATTAGAAAACGATAACAACCAAAAAATGCCAAGATCGAACAATAATAATTGTGTTTCAAATAAACAGAGTAGTCAAAATATAGAACTTAAAAATGACGATCAGATTCCTGGCTATTTGTCAATTTATAAAGTATTTCAGGTATTTATTTTTTTTAAATTATTAATGAAATATGTTCAAGTCGAAGACATTAAATTTTAAAATAAATATATATATTTTTTGATTTCAGTTAATTGGAATAATACTTATATTATCTGTCTTTTTATGGCTTCAAATTTATCGTACTGGTTTTGGTTTTAGCGAAATAATACAAATATGTAACTGGCACCCTTTATTAATGACAATCACGTTTGTTTATTTATTTGCGAATTGTAAGGATTTATTTTAAGCCTTTAAATAAATATTAATATGATATAAAGAGGTTATAAATACATTATCAAATTAAATTTAAAAATGATGCATTCGTTATAATTTAACAGAATATGATAAAATATTACAAATTATATTAAATTCTTAATTTTTTTAAATTTTATAGCATTAATAAGAATAGTAATTTATAATTTATAATTATGTATTTATATGGCAGTTAAAAGTATGATCTATATGTTATGATTCATAATTTAATGTCCTGATGTAAACATTTAAAATGTTGAGCGAACTGATGAATGTGTTGGTCTTATAATGATAATTATATAATAACAGATTAAATCAAAAAAAATGCTCCAATTTTCAAGATTAAAGGTGATTTTTACAAGTAACAAATTTGGCCTTATTGATACCTTTTAAGAAGTCGAAAGTAAAATATTCTCATAACTTTTTTAATAAAACGTAAACTACTTGATATGTTGTACTCATACAAATTTCAACAAAATTTGACAAAATTTATTTTTTTTTTAGCATTTTTAGTTAAAATGTTAACAACCTGTTAAAATTATTCAATATTTAAAATTTAATGAAATATTTAATAATTGATAGTTAATGTTTATAAAATTTTCAATTTGATTCTTAAGGCTAAACAGTTTATAACAAGATTCTTTAGAAGTTGTTCTTCAAAAGAATTTAAAAATATCAAAAAAATACTTAAACACAATTAATTTTTTTATATATACTCAATATTTAAATAAAAAATATAATAAAACATTTTCATTTAACTATTGTAGTTGTTTGATTAGAATTAAAAAAATACATAAATAAATGAAATTGAAACTTCTCACCATTAGGTACGTATACAATTATTATACTATATTTGTCTGTACTTGATTAAATTTTAAAATATTTTGACCAATTTCTAGCTATTTACGCGATGAATTTATTTTTCAGCATGTATATATTAATTTAAAAGTTAATAACAACAATAGATATAATATGGTAATATTAATAAATGTACAATAGTTTGAGTAAAATTTTTTTAACTTTCCTTATAACTAATAAAAAAATAAATCAATCGATGTTTATATTAATATGTTATAAAAATTTTTCAAAAATTAGCGAACATATTGTCTCTGTTCAAAATTATTTTTCGTTTACATTGATTTATCGTTGAATCCAATTTTAATACATCCATAATGAATCACTGTAATAATGACTTACTTAATGATGATGTATACTTGAAATATACTTGAAACGTATTAGGTACATGGTTACAGTAAAGCTAGTTACTAGAAACTTTTTTTTTAAATTTTATAGTTAAAATGCTATTAGAATTATTTTATTTATTTTCTTATGTATAAAACATGTCACGCCATGAATAAAAATGGAACTTTTAAAAACAACTTCAGTTCCTTTAGGTTAAAATAGAATATTATATAATAACTTATACAAACTAAATAACATATTATGTATTTTTTGTTTAGCTATTCTTCATTTCAGAAATTTTCGAAAAACTACAAAACAGAAATTAAAAATGCAGCATGCAACAATTCATAGCTGTATTATCATCTTTGGGGTACTTGGTTTATGGACTGGATTAAATTCAAATTTGATTGCTAATCCACCTATTCCAAAATTTTACAGTTTGCACAGTTGGTTGGGAATTATTACTGTTATAATGTTTCTATTCCAGGTATGTTGATAGAAAACTACTCTCTTTTTGTTAAAAAAAAATAAAAAAAAAAAAAAATATACTCAACTGTAAATAGATTAAAAAGGCACATAGCACACATATTATTAAATAAAATATTCTTAATTTTATAAAATTTAACATATTGTGTATTAATTTAATATATTTTATAGTACACAAGTGGATTTATATCATTTCTCTATCCTGAAATAGCGATGAAATATAAAAAAGTCGTTATGCCTTATCACATAATATTTGGTATATTAACGTTTGCATTATCTATTGTAACTTCAGTGCTGGGATTTAGTGAAAAAATCATGTTTGCGTTGTATGTAACTAATACACTATTAAAAACTATGCTTAGGAAGTTGTAAATATTAATTTAATACAAAAATAATTTTTTTTATTATAGGAACCAACAGCATGAGTATATGCCGACGGAAGGACTGTTTTTAAATTGTGTAGGGATAGTATTTATTGTTTATGGTGCATTGGTCGTATATATATTAATTAAACCAGAATATAAAAGATCTTATAAACCAGATGACGGAGTGACACATAATGGTGCTTAAAATTATTTTAATTTGTGATTTTTTATTTAATTAATTTTAATGAGCATACACTCGTCCAAAAAATAAAAAAATAAAACCTAACAATGACAATATGTCATAAATTATCGAATGTTTGATTTTGTTTATATGAATGCAGAATACATTGTGGTACTATGATTAGTGATAAAATTTTAATACCAATTATTAATATCGCAATGAAAATGTTTTCAAATGTTGTTCGATAAAGTCTTTTTTTACTGATAATTGTTTTGACAATTGTTGTGAGTAGCGTTTAATTGTTTAACGCTTAGGGAAATATCTGAGAAAATTGATTTCTTCAGTAGTATTTTTTAACATAATAAAAAATCACTCACAACTGTTTAATATTTTTTAAGAAATGTCAACAAGCTAGTTTTAATAAGAAGCTTCGGCTAAGAATAGTACTTTTAACAAAATAATTCACAATGATTTCAAATTTAGCCAAAAATCATATTTTTATTTTATTTAATTTTAAAACTAATATCCTAATTGAAATTACAAATACTATTGCTCATCTGTATCATTGAAATAATAAACGTGTAAATAATTTATCGTTTAATAAACCAGGTATACAATGGAAGTTATAAAAATATACATAATAAATTTAAAATACTTCAAAATGTTGTATAAATGATTTACCAACTATGAGTGGATTTTGTAATAGAATTAAAGATTAAAAATATTAATCTGGTGCTTGTAATCGTTATGATTAATTAACTGTATTGTAATCCACACATAAATAATTAGACACGTATCACGCCGATTTACAATAAATAAACCAACTATTAAGTGCGACATTACGTCTGTTAAAAAAAAAAATAAAAAAAATATATAAGAAAATAAGAATTTGAAATTATAGTAATGTGAAACTATAAATAATGTTTTTATTTACGTGAAGTTATGCGTTGTGTTTAAACATTATTATGGATTAATTTTATCATACTTATTGACAGAGTAACTGAGCCAGACCGATCGAATTCAATATATGGTATATCGTTCCCAAGCACTGTTTGATGACGAATCGTGTGTGGAAAAACATACACATACATTAATGTAAAGGGACATCGCTTACTATTAAGTGTTCAGTGTTGCGTTGCTTGGAAACCGTTTTGTTGTAGGTGTTGTGTGGACGAGATACGGGTTGCAACTTTCGGGTATAATGTGGTATAGGCCTCGAATTTTATTCGGAGTTCTCTGTACGTGAATAATAGTCGTGTATCGCGACATCTACGAAAATCGGATTATTGACCACACGTCGCTATAATTATATCATTAATTTATTATAATCTATATAATTAATTATTTTATGTTCAACGCGGTTATTGCAGCGGCTTGATGTTTACGATAAGTTTTTATTGTTAACGAGTTAGTTAAAATGTCCAATTTTAAAAAGAAATCAAAGGCCAATAAGCACATTGTGACGTCTACGGGACTATCATTGCAAGGTTCTCAAGTATGTACACTGCAGTATAATAATATATACATATTTTATATTACATATTAAATGTATAGAATAAGATAGACGTGTTAATGGTTTATTTATTTATAAATCTATAATTATCTATTTTAATAGGCTTAGACTTGAAATATTACATAATTCTACATGTTCGATTTGAGTACTAAATACGATAAAAAATTACAATCAGTGATTAAAAGTTAAATTATAAAAGTGTGGGATTCATATTGTTGGTAATAGAGACATAATATTATTATACAACAAAAGTGTTTGAGGGATTCATATAACGACATAGTTAGATTTAGAAGTAGTATTACTGCTATAGAACGGAAAGTTAATGAAACTTATGAAAGTAAAAATAGAACTCGAATAATAGAACAGGTAAGTCGATTCCACTTGACAGCGGCACTTGAACATCTTAATACTATAACTTATAAGTTATAAGTGTCCATTTAAGATCTAAAACTAAGACTCGTTACAATAATATACGGGTACAATCCTGAAACAATAATTATTACACAGAGCAAAATCATTGAAAATTGAAAAGTTTGCTAAACTCGCTTAAATTGGAGGAGTCATCACCGATAGTTTGAGAACCCTGTGCACAGAAACGTTTCAAAAGAAAGTCAGGACAATGATCCTTGTTTAAAATTTATTTAAAAAAAAAAAAAATTAAATGCAAAAAAATTAAGTGCAAAAATTAAATTAATGATGTTTTTATTAATACACATTTATATATTACATGCCTACAGTTTAGTGCCTTTAAAATATATAATGAAAATACTTATAATACTATTACAAGTATTTACAATATTATTTTTCTACTCCGATTACATCAAAACAGTAATAGACAAATACCACATAACATAGTTAGATACCACAGTCTTTTTTCTGTTTTGTTGCAAGCATATTATTTTATTACACGCACCCTGTGATTTTATTTACTCCTGCGTGTTATGTAAATAAAAAAATGAAGTCTTTTTTTTGTATTTATTGTAACGTTCAGTAAAAGAAACGAACCCACTAGGTTTAAAATAAATACAATTTAGTCAATACGTATTGAAGTGAACAGGTAAAGATATAATAAAATATTGTACTTATTATATAATTGTGCCATACAAAATATTTTGTTTAAAAAACAGTGATGCAGATGTGCAATTTTGAATTGAATTTCTTTCTCATAAAAAAGATGTGAACCACTTTTAAAATACTTTTATATGCTTTTGATTCTTGTAAAAATATACTTAAAATACGGCAGAGCCATTCATTTGTTTTATAATATCTAATTATTATTTAATAACATATTTTTTGTCATTGAAAATATTATATCATATATCTTTTATATTTCATTCAAATTTATAACAATATTTGACTCACAATAAAACATGCGCATACTCTTACATTATCCGTTATACACTATTAAAAGAGGCATTCTTAACCATCCTTCAATAATGAAACAAGCACTCAGAGATCTAAATACTAATTCATGGCTTTTTAAGACCATATGTAACGATATGAAGATTTAAAAATAAGATGACACATTATGTTAATTATTTAAGAAAAAAAAATTGAATAGGTACATTGTAATACAATAGTTATGCATAGTTATGTATAATAAACATTAATAAAATTAATGTCAATATGATTAGCTCCTAACCTAACTCCTCTCGAAACCTCTATTATAAGTAAAATATATATATATATATATTTGAACCATCCATCGTTGATATTTTGATAAAGATAGACAATATTAGTTACTATAAAAGTACTAAAGCATACTCATTAAATAGTTTGTTTTCTGTAATAAAAAAAAAAAATACATGTTCTGTAAATAGTAATGATTAGGTATATACTATTTTTCAAGTACACAATAATTAATGATAATACGAATACAGTGTGCCTGTATACACCACCTAAAATACCTCTAATATATATTATATATAACTATAGACACTATAATAGCACTATATAAGTCTGTACATACTTAGGTCGACTAAATTATTTTATAGTTTAAACTATTTAAACTAATATTTTAAGGAATTTAAAAAGCGTATGTATTGTAGTAAGATTTAATTTTGTAGAAAGCATGACATTTTCACATTCACAAACTTTTCTATTTATTAGAGTTGTTGATTTATAAATTATTTTCTCTATCCTGTAATATTATTGAATTATTTGTGCGTGTATCTATTTTTCTAGTCACGCGATATTTTGAATTTGAATGAATATTAATTTATGCAACAACCGTAGATATGTGCAAATGGAGTTTTCACTAGACATTGTGCGTATTTATTTATAATAATATTAATATGAAACTTTATATATAACTACAGCTACTATGCATTATTGCGGGTTAATTGATTTAATCATTTAATAACGTTTATAAGACTATAATAATTAATGATACAAAACTATGTTTTTATGATTTATTATAACATAGTGCATGCATTGCATACAATATATATATATATATATATATATATATATATGTCGTAGGCCATATGAATAATTAGTTTTTTTGCGAAAAGACTAGGCTCTTTGCAATAGGGTAGCCCGTTTGCGGACTACTTATTATTTTTCCAAACAGCCTGCTGTTTTTTAGGCTCATTGCATACAGACTAACATCAGTTAGACCTTTTAAAAATTACAATAATTTTATGGTAATGACCATTTGACTATTGTATTACTAACTTTATTTTATATTACTAACTATGTGTAAAATGTAAACTGAACTATTATATTATTATATTATAAGTACATTATTTTCTTTTTATTTATAACTTTGCCAATATTATATTTTGAATGTCTAATAGTCCATGATCGAATTTTGGAATATTGATGGCAGAAAAAATGATACAGAAATAGCGATAAGAAATTAGTTATAATTGAAGTTGTTAGTTATATTTTATTCAATATTCCAAAAGTAGATTGTAGACTATTAGATACTCAAAATATAATATTGGCAAAGTTATAAACAAAAAGAAAATAATGTACCTATAATACAATAATATAATAGTTCAATTTACATTTTACATATGATTAGTAATATAAAATTAAATTAGTAATACAACAGTCAAATAATTATTACCAAAAATTATTGTAATTTTTTAAAGGCCTAACTGCTGTTAGTCTGTATACAATGAGCCTGAAAAATAGCAGGCTGTTTTGAAAAATAATACGTTGTTCGAAAACAGGCTACCGCATTGCAAAGAGCCTAGTCTTTTCGCAAAAAAATTAATTATCCATATGGCCTACGACATATATATACTTATACATATTTTCTGATATCTGTAACAAGTGAACACGTAAAAATTTTACTTATAATTTTTTTCTTTTTGTTTTGACTATAAAACTTTAAAATACGTTTCATGATAATTTTTTTCGTAACAAAATGGTTATGGTTTTTATATTACTATAGAATACTATGTACCTAGCTTACGCATTAATTAATTAATTTATATATACATAATTAAAGATTTATTATTTGAAGTTTGTTATAATTAAATAATATGTTGTTATCAGTATCTGAACTGTATTTTACATATTTATTTATATTTGTATGATATTTCCTTTAGATTAATCTTTCAACCCGTCTATCGAATTTAAACATATCAAATCCTTTGCATTATTTGTATAACGAAAACGTTGATACTCCATCCCGTGGAAGGCCGATGTCTGCACTGACACTGAGTGCTACAAATCAGGTTTAATGATTAAAAAATGAAAAATTATGTTTAATTTATTCTTGAAAAAATAATTTATTTTAGGAATCACCACGTAGGACAAGACTAGTCAGACGTCCCCAGTCTGCAGATACAATAAACAAGATTACAAAAAGCCGACACATTTCGTTTGATTTCAACGATCAAAAGATTGACACGGGTAAATGTATAAAAAAAAAAATTGTATTTATCTAAATATTTACTGAATGAGTTTTTAATTAAACAACTTAAATATGTTTTTGAATTAAATGCAATCAGACTAAAGATGATTAGGCATGCGATAAATGAAATGATTATACTGTATATTATAATAATTGATACAAACTGATTAGAATCGTGTATAAAATCACTTATTATTAAGTCTTGAATATTAAAGAAAAATATAAATACTATTATTTGATTCATTATTATTAAATGTTTCATTTTAATTTATCTTTATAATCAATAAAACAAAAATAATAAACATTCTAGCCTATAAGTTATAATAGTACTATCATAATTCATAACTGTACAATCTGGGTTCATCACGCGATTCAGCGTGTTTCTTTGTATATGTTTGAAAATCTTTGCAATTTATACATTTACATTGGGAATAGATTTTTATGTGTTCATATACAATACACACGCCACAACGTTATGTGTGCATGTCGAATAACAAGTAAATATATATATTATAGTGTAATAAATGTTAATTAATTAAGCAGAAATATATTGTTCTACTCGTTACTCATTAATCAATAACAATTGTCAACAATAATTTTGATATGTATTTTGGTATGCAATAACGTTATTATACAGTTACAGAGGAATTTCAATAACTCAAACCTCTATGTAAGTCGAATTTTGGATAACTTGAAGGAATATTTTGGCCTTTACCTTATACAATACATGATATGTGTGATAAATTTCTTCGATAATCCAAATTTCGCTAATTTGAATTTCTCGATAAGTGGAAATAATTTTAGTTAAATTTTAGATTATGACTCGAATTTTTGTTCGACATACAGATATTGATGACGATGAAAAATTGCCTTTGCCTAAGATTTTTCTTGTTCAGGCATTAGATGGTTTAGATCCTTACCAAACAATAACAAACAACCGAAAATATCTGATTTCATCCGAAAATAATGCTACTTTATTTATTACATCGCATATATTTTCTTGATTACATATAGATTACATACTTATTAATTATTTTATACTTTTTTAAAATTTAAATACAATATATACATACATATTATATACGTTATACATTTATTAGTAAATACATAAGTAAATACAAAAAATAAAATGAAGTTTTTGTGTTGTTTAAAAAAATATTTCAATAATTTGAATTTTTTTTATTGATTTGAGTTATCAAGGTTTTCTGTAAGTCGAATTTTCGATAACTTTAACATTTTTTTGCCTTAATTGATTCGAGTTATAGAGGTTCTACTGTACATTGAAAATATTTTTTTCTATTGTAAGTATCATTATTTGTAATAAATTGTAATGATGCTAATACACTCTCAGACCTTGAAAATTAAATTGTACATACCTTTTTTTCCTAAATTATCGTTTACCATATCATGTTTTGAATATAACTCATGTTAGAAGAATACTAATTAAATGCTGCGTTTATCATTATGTTGGGAACATCAAGAGAACTAAAAAATAAACAGAATTTAAAATTTGTATTAATTCAACCCATCTCGCAGATATTGGAAATCACGAAGATCGGCAGGAGAACGCGTTTGACGAATCGGACGGGGCCGAACTGTCGTCGTCGAGCGACGGTCATTCGACGCCCGTTCCCCCAAACGACGGCAGTGGTGGTGGTGGAAGCGGTGGCGGTGATGGCGATGGACAGCCAGCGCTCGAACCAGGCTTAACTTCCAAGCCACCCATACCACCCGGAGGTAGCGATGCGCACGTATCGGAAACGTTCGGCCGGGCGGCAAACGGTTCTACGGCGACATTCGACGATGCAGTGGAACTCAAATTCCAGCGCTGGTTCCCTAACTCGGCACCGGTTCTAGTTCCTGCACCAATGCCCACCACTGACGTATGTGTAGGAAGCGTGGCCAGTGATAGCGTTACTGATGGCCGGACCGTTGCGTACGCGAAGAGTGGTCGCGGTCAACTGGACGAGGAACACCTTTACTCGAACCTGAGTGCGGCTATCGGTAGTGCTGGCGACAGATTCGGCGGGTCGGTGTCCGTGGACTTGTCCGGGGCGCTACGTGGTGCCAACATGGATGGCAGTGACCGAGGCCGAACGCGGTCCACCACAAAGCTGAAGAACAAGGTAAAGAAGAAAATCGTACCGGTAGCGACGCCGGCGGTCGGTCACAGAGCTAAACACACAAGGGATGCGATAAAATCAAAGTCCGTCGCGTCCGTAGCTGTACAGCCGGTCGAAGCGGTGGTGCCTCGGAACGAACAACTCCCGGAAAGACAGCCGGAAACGAAGAGAGACCGTTCGAAGAACGCTGACCGTTCACCGGTGCAAGATTACGCGAGGGAAGACGTGGTCTCGTGGATGTCTAGTCACCTGCAAAGGCCGTGCACGCCGTCCGACTTTGACGGCGATACACTCGTGAGTATCCCGGGTGACCAGTATACACACCGAATTTTGTTATTTTTTAAAAAAAATTCGTTAACTCTCATGTTCTTTATGTTTAAAGGATGCGTTTACCAAAGAAAAACACAAGACGTCGACGTACGACGAGATCGTTAATATTCTTAAAGAACTCGAGTCTGAAAATAACGATATCGGTAGTTAGTTTGTAGAATTCACTTACCTCAAACTGTTTTTGTTGTCGCCATATACTATCACGTATTATAATGCTTAATTATTGCCTACACTTACATTTATATATATATTTTATATTTGTCGTATAATGATGTATACTGATTTATTGTAGACATGAATGTCAGGAAAAGTGGTGTTACAGATAATAATAAACATCAAACATTAGTACCAGAATCTTCGTCTAGTTCAAAGTTAATATCACTTGGAAATCATTATAAATTTTTGTTTTTTTTTTTGTTTTTTTTTTCATGACTTAAAATGTATATTTATGAAATAATTTTTCTTACTTTTGTTTTTAATGGATTTTTCAAAGGGCATTATGGTCATTTTTAGATGAGGTAGAGAAAAATTCGAATTGTCCATCTTTTTCCAAATCACCTAAACACAAATCACCCGTTAACTTGCCAAATACTCCACCATCATCGTAAGTTTATTTTATTATCGACTACCATTGCATGATATACAACACTTTTGTGTACAGACCAGGTAAAAGAATTGTAGATGTAAAAAAGGGAAATCTCCAACAAGTTATGGATCTTGACAAAGCAGAATTGGCTCAGAAAGTAGCTATGCTAAAAATACAATTATCAGAAAAAGAGGATATAACTGAAAAATTAAAAACTAATATATCTGAACTACAAGCGGAACACGCTAAAACTAAATCTGAATATGAATCCACTGTAATGAGACACCAAAAGTTCATCGATAAAGTAAATAATATTAAAATATTGTGTGTACTAAACTACATTAAAAATATATTCGATTAGTTATTGAACGAGAAAAAACAACTAAGTGAAAGTTGTTCTTTAACTGTAAAAGAACTGACCAAAAAAATGAATGATGCACTTACGAGCCAAGAAGAACGACATAGAGTTGAATTAAAAAAAGCTATTGACAAACAGACAGCATCTGAAAAAATTAAAAAAGATCGATGGGTTGATCTTAAAACAAAAAAAATTAAAGTAAATATAAATTTTATCTTATTATTTATACACTATTTAAAAAGTATAACTTTTATAAGTATAGGAGATGACTATTAAAGGCATTGAACCTGAACTTAATAGAATGTCCGTAGCGTATCAAGAAGAATTGTCAGAACTTCGAAGAATTCATCAATCACAAATTGAAGAGATCGAAGCAACATGGCATCGGAGGATGGCTACCATGAGGGATAAAATGGATGCAGAACGCGAACAAGCAATTGTGACTGAAAGAGAAAATTCAAGAAACCGGTACCTATGTTTTTAATTTTTACATTATTAACCATACAAAGGTACCTTTCTATAACTTTTTATGTATTTTTATATTTGGTGATATTATACAATCCATTTATAAATTAAAAACCAACTGTTTTGTAAAGTATTATTATCAACAAAATAAGCTATAAGTTATTTAATAAAAAATGTTTATAATTTTTAATCAGTAAAAAATGTCATTATTTTTTTAAAAATTAAATCAGAAAAATAGCTCTTTGATCTTTATTTGAATAACAATATGAATTTGTTTTGATAACTCTATATAGTGTGATATTTTGATTTAAAATTGACAAACTATTATCAATATTTAGTTTGGAAATGGAAATTGCTGAGCTTGAAAAGAGTTATCAAGATCAACGTAAACGACTATTAGGTGAAATTCACGCAGAAAGATTACGTCAAGAAAGAGAAAATGAAGTAACACTAATGGAAAAGCAAAAAATCCTTGAACAAAAGTTTGAAAAATTGGTTTTAGAGATGCAGGAGAAGATTAATAAAAAAGAGCAAGAGTTTCAAGTAAGTAACTTTAATAATTTAATGATGAATTGAAAATAAAATCTATTATTTTTAATAATTATAAGTAATATATTAGAAAATAGAACAAAAAGTAGAAACATCAAAATTTAGTGGTTTTTTTTAAATTTAAAATTTTCAATAAAGGGTATTATCGTTCAAGTTATATCGAATAGGTAATTAATTATTAATTATTGTGTAAAAAATATATGTTCAGAGTTAATGTTTACTAAAATAAGAATAACGTTTATAAGTTAAGGTATAATATGTTTATAGGGACTATAATGTCATATTATCTTCATAAAAAAATTATACGAATTTCTATTTAATATTTATAATTGCACTCAGGCCCCATAACTGCCAACACGTAACAATCAACACCGTTATTCCTCACTCAAATTAAGTGAAATATATCGGCCTAATATTCGATATGTTCATCTCATCTTAGAGACAAACGTAAAAAGCTAAACTCAAGATTCCACCTACTGAGGCCACTTTTCTTCTCCGACCAACACTACCCCTCAAGATCATACTATACATATAAAACTCTTCTATAATCTCTCTGGATGTACGGGATAGTAATATGAGGTTCCGCTATAAATTCAAATAAGAGAACCTTCCAAAATATCTGTTGTCGCATAATTACTGGTGCACCATGGTATTTCTCCAATAATGCAATAAACTCCGACCTAAAAATCAACGAAACTGCTACCATATACTACAAACGCTTCCACGCAAAACTACAATCTAACCTCAACCAGTTTATCAATGACCTTGCCATACCAGCATTCTCTCAAACGGAACTGGGCTATGACCTAAAAATTGCATAATTTGTAAATTGTAAATGTAAATATTAATGTAAAGCTAATAGGTGTCTCTAATGTGAGATTTCCTACCATGCCATTATTAATAGTTAGTTTTCATTCTTATTCCTGTTATAATTATTACTTATTGTACACCTGTATAGATTGTAATATTTAAAAATAAAGTCATAAATATATATATATAATAAAAAAAAAATATTCTTAATAACGTTATAAATTATTATATAATTTATATAATTTAAAAATAATACATGGCTTAAATTTTCTTAAGTTTTAAGGTTTATTATTAACATAAAAATAAATAAAATCTTTTAGTAGAAAAATAAATTTAATATTTATGCATGAAATATTATATATTTTACTGAAAATACGGTTTCCTTTCAGAACGAGTTAAAAACAATACGAGAAACTTGTGAAACAGAAAAAACTAAATGGATACAACATCAAACGTCTATATTAATAGATAAAGAAAGTAACATCAAAGAAATGTGCAAAAAAGAACGAGATAAGCATATTGAATTGGTTGTTCAAAAATTAGAAAACGAAGCTTCTGAAAGAGAAAAAAGTTCAGAAATGAAAATAAAGTAATAATTTATACAATAAATCAAATTATTAATGCGTCATTATTCTAGTGTAAACTTGTTTATAGAATTATATATTTTATATTATTTATATAACCTTTTATGATTAGGGGTATTTTAGCAAAATATATTCTTAAAAATAGATTTTATGAAAAATGTAATTGTTTTTCTGATTATAGACGAATAAAATCTGAGTACGAGGCAGACATTCGTGAATTAGAAAATACCATATCTGGCCATCGTATGAAATTAAACGAAGCTCGTACCAAAGCACAAGAGTATGAAGATAAAATAGCAAATCTCACAAGTGAATTGAATAAGTGTAATGTTGAACAAATACGATTACAAGAGGTATTTTATAAATTATACTGGATTTTGACACTAAAATGGTTCTCATGCTAACACTTTTGTAGTTGGTTTCAAAACTAAAAAATGACCTTGATGAAAAAGAAAATATAATAAAAGACGAGGCTGTCACTAAAATCGGAATATTAAAGACAGAATTAATTCAATCGAAATTGAATTTTGAAACTAAAATGAAAACTATTGAAAATGAAAAAGAAAAGGAAATAAATCACGTTTACGTTCGGTAATAGTTTTCGATTAAATGCGTTTACATTTTGTTCATTCTTTTGTTATTATTCTAGGGTAAAAGAAGCAATTAAACGAAAAGATGAAACAATTAATATATTAAAAAGTGAACGAAATGCTGCCTTAGATCAGTGTAGTAATATGGAAAGACTTTTGGATCGACAGAGAAAAGAACTTTTGAAGCTCAAATAATTTAATTATTGCTAAAGTTAAATTAACTCCTTATTTTCATTTTTTTTTTTTTTTTTTTTTATAGTTATACGAATTATTTTTGAAAAGTATAAAATAATGATATTGGAGTCTATGTAATGAATACACATTTTGCTGTATCATCATATTTATAATAATAAACACTAGTTTTTACTATTATCTATACTCGTATAAAGAAAATGTTGGTACAGGCATTGGTAATAACCAGTCAGGTTAGTTAGTTTATACGGTATTTTCAATTAAAGTAAATTATAATTTGTTTTTAATATTGTTCATTCTTATCCATACAAATCATTCATTTTATGATATTTAATTATAAATATTTGAAATTTACAAATTTGTTACAAATAAAATTCAATAAAAAAATCATAGGTAAAGAAATTATTTTTCGTGGTTCAGTACCATAAAATAAATTAGAAATGTATTATATTTTATCGATCTAATTTAACACCATAAACTGTATTAATGCATATTAAGATAACAAGTGAATTGAATTTAAACCTACCATAAATAAAAGAACGCAGGCTATTTAATATGTATAATTAAAATATTGATATCCTGTAGCGCAACGATAATTATTAAAAATAATTTAACTAACTCTATATTTTTAAATTCTCTTTTTTTTTTTTTTAACTGCAATGCAGAAACATTTTTTTTTGTAATTTTATTTAACTGGCATATTAAAAAAAATGATTTAAACTCAATTTGATCTATTAAACTTTTCAAGACTGTAGTCTTTTACTGATGTGAAAATATTGAATAAGATCATTGTTGTTGTATTTTTAATGTTAATAATTGGTTATTATTACTTAAATAATCAATAATTTAAAAAGAAAAACTGACTACACCACTGACGTGGATCATTTTATTTAATATTAATAAATAAATATTATAACATAATATAGTTTTATTTATAATAATTATATTTTCTTGATTATTATCGAATGATGTTGAATATACGAGTAAGTTATTCAAAGTTTATATACCACTTTCATAAGCCTATTTTAAGGGTATTTTATTAGTACGAGTTGTTGAAATAATAACATGTACGATGAGAGTAAGTATAATGAGAGTGAAATTAGTTAACGTCTAAATTGAATCTTTATTATAATAAATTTAGGATCTGCTCTCATACTAACACAATATTCACTTATTTATTTATTGTTTTTATTAAAAACTACATTCTGTGAACATGTATTCTTTACAATAAGCACAATTGTTGAATGTGTGTATAGTGACTGCAGACTTCCTGAAGGAAGAATCCATTTAGTAATGAAGCTTACGGTAGCGAGGAATGGTTCTTAATCATTCAGAAAGTGTCGACACTATTTGCATTTTAAACGTCTTTTATGGTCATCTGTGATATGTTGAAAAAAATAAGTTTGAGATAAGAGAATTTTGGTAGTCTAGAAGATTCAAGTAGAAGCGGTTATTGAGAAATTTGACTACGTGTTGAACTGTTTGGAATGAAGAAATTATTATGGAGTACTCAGAGAGTTATGTATCTAACATATTTAAGAATTGTATAACTTATTTTACTTGACCGTATGTTTGTATGATAGAGACTCATTGGTAATGAACACAAAAAGTGGTGATTTAATTTTTTAATATAAGTGGGTAGTAAGTTGTAAACATGGTATTGAGGGTTGATTTCTTTTAAGAAGTAGTTTAATTTTCTATAGTTGTTAGAGTTATCAGTTTTTGAAATTTCAGGTGATTCGAGGTAGATTTGCAAGAGCAATTATTTGGAGCGATTTGTTTTATAAAACAACGTCTTTAACAAATATAGGTGGTGCCGTGAAAGTAATAATATTATCTTTGGTGTATTATAAGTAGTATGTGTTTGCGCCTAAGTTTGCAAGTTTGATAGATCTTCGATATTATTGTTATCGATGATAATAGGTTCCGATTCTTGTTGTGAGAGAATGGATTAGCGTTCAGGGTAATAATTGTTTTCAATTTATTTTCAATATTTAGTGTTGAAGGTGATTAAGGCGGTGAGACACTCAGACAATATAAAAAGGTATAACCAATATGTCGTCTAAGGTCTGAAACCTATCGTGCACTATTATTTGAGTAAATTTTAGGTATTAAAGATTACGAGAAAATAGAGATTGAATAAAATAATTAAATTTAACGAAAAAATGTATTATGATTTGCTTATATAAAGTAGGTTATAATCTTTATAGATGGATTAAAAATTATATTTTAAAATAAACTTGAAAATTCTATTCGATTGATATAATTTATTTTTTATTTAAAGCTTACCTCTGAACCGCAAATTGAACTTCTCAAATGTTTTGTCATATGATTCTACTATTATTGAAATTTTCTAATAAATGATTTTATGTATACAAAATACGTGACTGTTATATTAAAATAATGCATTATTGTTTCGCACTAATTGCTTTATTTTAAATAAAAGTATAAAATACGTTTTATTAGGATTAATAAATTTCAGTTGATCATTCATTATATTATTTGAATTTTAATCAATCCGAAAAATTTTAAAAACCAAATACTCGTGGGGAGTTCTCTGCGTGAGGCTATTCGAATCTTCAGTTTCCTTTTTGTATTTATAAAATACACAGAGAATAGGTTCGTTACTGTAGAAAAAAATTATACGAGTACACTCGTCGCTGTTGGCCCTTTTATTTTTCATATATTATGTCGCGGAGGGTATTTTGTGCTGTTAGGTAATAATGTTTCATTGTGATCACATGGTGTGATTTAAACACTTGAAAACGAGTTGATGAACTGTCGTAAGAATATTAAAGGTTAGTTATTTTAAAATCGATACTGAATTAAACGACACCTGCATTATTTAACTTTAGTTTAAAAGTTTATAATCAAAACAAGCTTACAATAATTTAAATTATGTAGAACTGTAATATAAAATGTATACATATTTTAGTGTTTAATTTGTATAAATAAATAATAAATAATTGTTCAATTGAAGGCATCAATAAAACATTTTTATTAATTATTTTTCCATTTTATAGATGAACCATTAAAATTAAAGTGCAGACAAAATTGAACTAAAAGCATAGGTACTAATACTACACCATTAAATAATATTTTTAAATTGGATTTACTAAAGCTATATAACAATGAATAAATAGAAAAACAGTAGTAAAAACAATATAATACACCTACGATATATTTAATAATATATATATAATATAATAATTCATATTATTATTAATTTATCTTGTTTATTTAAACAATATATGTATTTATATAAATAAATATTTATTTTCTGTTAATAAAAATTTGGATTTTTTCAAAATATTAAAATTTATATTTTGGCATATTTAATTATTTAATTGTTATTTAATTATGCGTACTCATATTATCATAACTTATAAATGTATATTAACTATTATTTTCTAATAATCGATCATTTTGCATTTGGTACATTAATTAATATTTTAAAATAATACGATAAAATATGAATTATACAGCGTTATCTATAAGATATTAATTGGGTATAAACTATTTAATCAATATAAAAGCTAAGTTAAGCAATCCTACAAAAGTGTGTGACACAATTATTCAAGAAAAAAAAAGGAATTTAATTTAATTTTACTAGTATCTGTGTAATAATAATGACAACGTCGAAATTAATTGGCTTACACGACGATTCGTGATTAGTTTACCAAAACCAAATTTTCCGTCAGAACAACTAGATTTTAAATCTTTTAAATTTTATTTAAAATGCATCTCATAAATACAATTTATTTTTATTGCATACTTGTCTTTAGCTGTAGTGGTTTAGGCAATCTTACGTTTGCATCAATTAAATTATTAAATCCAAGAATATATAATTGTTTATTTTTATTTAAAATAATTTTATATTAAAATGTGATAAAAAATCAATTACCTATTTTTTTAATAAAGATAAATGAATAAAAATGATTTTAAAGAAAAAGGGGTAAATATTGGATATTGGTAAACTGAGAAATCATCTTAATCGCCTATATGGGCTATGAGATGCCAATATTGTATAATGTGTTATTTTTTTTTATTCTCATACAAGTTATATATAATTAAAATACAAGCCATCTATCCAATAATAATTTTACTCGTTTTATGTCTATAAATCAATATAATAATAATAATAAAAATAAAAAATAAAACATACCAACATTATAACATAAAATATATTTACAGTTTTAATTCGAAATATTATTAAGTCAATAAAAAAAACATGCTTTTTAATCAAATTCAATAAGGAAACAACCCACACGACGATCAATCACCTTGTCATTGCTTGTTTATTTCAATGGCAATGGGGAAAAAAATTATTTAATAATATCTCAGTGGGGTAGAAGAAACTAAAGGGGTAATGATACTATGTTTCAGTAATCCTATTAACGGTTCACACGTAAATCGCGAATACAATAAGCACACTACTAACACGTGTTCACTGTTCTTTGTATAAAGAAAAATAAGAACAATGTTCCAAATTGAATTCAAAACCAATTAATAAATAACATCATATTTTAGTTTAAAATTATTCATGTTGTATAATATATTAATATAATGAATTGTGTTAGTCTAGTCATAATTTATTATGACTCTAGTATTTGAAAAATATAAGAAAATTGAACAAAAAAAAAAAAAAATAAAAAAAAATGAAAAGAATCTGATAGAAATAAAGAGAAAAATGAATAGAAAGGGAAATAAATTTGTGATCTGACGTATAAACGAAATATTACAATATTGCCTATTGCTGGGGTTGACATTTGTTGAAGGGTCTAACAAGAGAGGCTCAATGTTCAAATGGGATCCGGAAGGAAACAGGAAGGAAAGAATAAAAAACCCACGCTCCCTTTTGCCAGCTTTCACTATCCAATAGAAAAAATGTATAAATAAGAAATTGAACGAATAAAACCATTTCAAAAAACTTATGATTTTTATTTTATTATTTATTTTAAGTTTAATTTAAAATAAGGAAAATCAAAAATATTAGTCTTAGTATTATTTACGAAGTATAATTTAAAACATTTGAAAAAACTCAAGCTACAAAATTTAACTAAGTTATGCAGCTATTTTCCAAACCTAGAATAAGTAATAAGTAACGCTAACGTTACTGAACATTTATCGAAAATACTTGAAAATGTTATAAAATAGTTATGAAAATTCTCTCAATACGTATAAAATTTTAACCATAACGTTAAACACGTAAATGGAAAGCTTATTAACAAACCAATTAAACAAGCATATTATTATATATTATAAATAAAATAACAATTATATAATATAATAGTACTAATAGTATTTTAAAACTGATTTTCGTAGGTTTACAACTTAGTTTTTATCAATAATAATATTAAACTATAAAAGAATATTTATAACAAACTTATTGAAATAATTAAATTAGGATTAACTTATTAAAAAAAATATTAGAAGTAAATTTATAAAAACCACCTTAAAAATAAAAAAAAAAGTATATATCATAAGAAATAATAAATTTTAAACTGGATTTCATTAGTTAATAACTTAGTTTTTTATTAAAAATTATATTATAAAAGTATATTTATAACAATCTTATTGATATAATTAAAATAGGATATACCTATTAAAAAACTATGAGAAGTAAATTTATAAAAACCATTTAAAAAATAAAAAAACAGGGAATAAACTAATTAATTTGGAACTGATTTGGGTGCCCGCATTTTGAGTATCAATTATTGTCGGTGTTTCAGTTGCAATATATTTATCTGTTAATACGACTACAGATTGTGGTCTTAGTGTTAATGGATTGCCAGACGATGATACGGTTGATACGATGTTTCCTGGTCTGTATATGGAATTTTCACTTCCTAAATATACGTATAATTCGTTTTTGAGGTCATTCACGACATTGGACAATATGACGGTTTCAGTTTCACTGCCAAAATTCATTACGACCAAATACGATTCATGTTCCAATAATGACCGTTTTAAAATATAA